CCGGGAGCTCAACAAAATGAAATAAAAAAAGTAGAACAAGCCTCGCATTAGTAAAATTTTTGATATATGTGGAGTCCAAGCTGTAAACCAGAGATTAAGAGTCGCACGTTCTCGCATCTGATCCGCGGGAGGTTGACAATTGGCTGACCTTACACACCAATGATGAACTTAAAAATTCCAAAAATTGGTAATGCTATCCAGCAACAATGCCACTAAAAAAACTACTGCTAATTGGGCCTTTGAACCTCCGACCAGTAGATCTGGAACCTCACATCCTTTTAACTATGCTAAGGTTGCTTACTGATCACTGATTGTCAAACACTAGCCACAAATTAAACAGAATTTCGAATTAAACAGCTACGAAATTTTCAATGCTGCAGATCTTGGTTATAACAAAGTGCCCATAAATGAGCACTTTTATTTGTTGGTTCCGTTCATACTATTACACTACGCTAGCGATAAAACAAATTCGTTTAAGTGAATAGCTCAGTTAGCCAAAAGATGAGCACTTTATTTGTAGATTAAGTTCATACTAATTCACTACGCTAGCGATAATACACATTCGCTTAAGTAACTAGCGCAATTAAAAATAATTTTTATGATAAAAGACTTGTAATGAAGCAGCTAACCCAATTTTACATACGCCGAAACCATTAAAGTCAAAGAAATCTTACTAATGTGAAAGAAAACGGAATTGAAGCAAAATCTTAAAACTCAACCTACTGGATTTTCACAAACACTAAATATGGCACTTTAACGACAAAAACTCTATCGGCTTTTAGACAAAATTGATACTTTTGAAAAAAAGTTAACAAAAATAAACAGAGAAACAATCGTCCAAAAACGCCAGACATTCCAGAAAAAAGTTCAACTTGCATAGATTTAAAAACCGAGCTCCAGCTAGGACTCAAACCCTGAACATTAGGTTCCTAAGACATTCAATTTACCATTATGCCAAACAAGTGAAATAACAGAGTACAGTTTTTTTGCTTCATTAAAAAGACCAAAAAATAAATAACAATTGTTTTCCATTGTATTATATACATTTTTATTACATTAAAACTGCTAATTTTTATTTACTTTCTTTGCATTTTGGTATTTCAATTTGAAGTTAACTAAAAATCAAGTATGAGTGCATTTTAAAGTTTCAGTGATGATCAAAAGAAAAAAGTAAGTAGGTATGTATAAAACTGTTCAAATTTTTGGTCTTAAGAAACAAGTTTTTTTGGGAACATTATAGAACAGTTTTACTGCAAAGAACATCAAAAAAAAACTTCGCGAACTGAGGTATCGAAATCACTTTCAGCGTACCTTTGAAAAAATTTACAATTCAACCCTAAAAATCAAAAACTCAAAATCTTACATTTGCGCACACCTCAACGCGCGCTCTTCTAAAGCAACAACGCGTACTTCTGTCTAATAACTCGCATTGAGTACTCGCAGCAATTGAAATATTCATTTATTTTTTGTTTCGGTTAATTTTAATCATTTTCGTTCCAATGTTTTAAAAGACGCGGGAGAAGCCATAACTTTTTTAAATAAAATTAACACGCCCACCTGACAGTTAGAAAATTGTCATGAAACCTAGGCAAGCAAAAAAAAAGACCTTGAATTTAAGCTTTCAATTTTATGACGTTTAAATTTATTGCGGTAAAATTCTTTGACTCTCAAGAACTTTTCACGATTGAATTTTTTTGTGCAACCAAAACATGATCTGAAATTTACTCATTTAAAAACAACTAAATTATTAAATAATTTTTTTTCCGCCCACATTTTTGAAAACTCAACGCCACTTTCGACATTAAGAACAAGCATATTTTTCACGCCACTTGAGCTTTTATAATTAAATTGCGTACTTTACCTTCTTTTAAGACAATGAATTCGAAATCAATTTTTTAAATACAAACCAGAATTTAGGACTTTTTCCTGATCGAACAATGAAAAACGACCAAGATCAGTGATAAATCACTCCTATCCCTACACTTAACTCAGAATAAAATAGGTTATTTTTTGGCAAAGAGTTACAAATAGTAGTTTTTCACTTTATTTAAATTGTGGTAACACTATTTATTTCTGGGAAAACCTCATAAACAGTTTGTTATTCAGCTATGGTTTACACATTGCCAAGCCAAACTGTGCATTTTGTGAATTGTAAGCGGATTCCGCAATGGGCCGAAATCAGACTTGTCTTTGCTGTTTTAGATTCCAAAAACAAATAGCTAATACACCGTACCGCTCAAAATCACTCCAAAAATAGGCAATTTTGCGGAATCCGCAACAGTCTTTGCGGAACTCTGAACCGTTTGTAGAATCCGCAAATATGCAATAAAATATAGGTAGTGTAAAATTGAGCTGTTGCGGAATCCGCAAAATGTAAGCGGAATCAGCAAATTGTAAGCGGAATCCTTACTTTCCTTAACTGCAAAAAGTTTAAACTGATCTGCTAAAAACTGAAAGAATGAACACCCTTCCAATCTCAAACACCGAAAGAATCAACATTTTTTCTATCTCGAATACTGAAAAAAAAACTCAAGTACTAAAAAATATATTTTTCCGATCTCATAAACTGAACGAAAAAAAAACGAACGAATACAAATTAAACTGTACAATTTCATAGATTAAAAATCAAGAAATATTGTTCGGAGTTTTATTTCAAACACTAAAAGGGTGCATCCACAATTTTAGTTGGACAATGATTTAAGTTTTGTTCAGGGATTCCAGTAACAAAAGATAAATCCTTGCTTTTATATTCCGCGGTAGCTAGGTAATGTCTTTAGCTATATCTCTTAAATGACTTACATGTTCTCTTACTGACTGGTTCAATTCAGTACAAAAAAAACTGCGATCTATTGATGCTCGTGGAATCCACTTACATTTCCGGAATCCTCTCACATTTGCGGCATCCGCTAACATTTTGCGGAATCCGCGAACTTTTATGGAATCCGAAACAACTAGCTATATTTACGTGTTGAAAATTCTGCGAGAATATGTTGTACCGACAAATTTGAAGTCACAGTATTCGCACGCGGAATCCACCAAATTTGTTTAAGTGGAATCCGTTTACATTTTGGAACACGTTTAAAGACTTGTCTCTGGAATCCAGTAACCTAAAGGCTCCAAATTCTACGCCTGTTTGACGTGAAGCTGACTTCTGTCTCACCGATAAAAATTTGGAACTACAACTTCATTTTCAATTTGTTGCTTTACAATGCCAAACTGTGCACTAAATAGGCGCAAAAAATACCCAGTTCTCTCAAATTTGGTTTATTTAACCAAGAAAGTGTCAATTAGAAAATGTTCTTGTAAATCAAAGAATTTTAAGATTATCAATTTTTCTCTGAATTTCTAAAGCTGAAATTTTTCAAAATTAAGTCTATGTTTCGTGAGAGAAAGTTTTTTCCTTTTTTTTGTGTGTATGATTTTATGTGTATGTGAAAAATTCAAACACTTTTTCTGTGTGTAAGAAGTTTTTGTGTATGAAAACTTCAGCTTTCGAAATTCAGTGAAAAAATTGACGCCCTCAAAAAATTTTATGATGAACAAAAACATTTTAAAATTGACACTTTTTGATTTTAAAAAACCTAATTTGAGAAAACTGGATCAATAAGAAAATTTTTCATTCCCTAGGGAAATAGGAAAAATAAATTCCATTTTCAAAACTAGAAATCAATTACGTTTTTTGTGACCTTTACAAATTTCCTGTTTGATAGTCGAGTTTGCTTTCCTTTCACACATAGGGGAAGCTTCGCTTCGCAAACACAAAAAGCAGCTCCATAGAGTGCAATTACACAAATTAGAAATAAGCCTGAAATTAATTTAAAAAATTCTGCTACCTCTGAGATGACCCCTTTTGATGAAAACTTTTATTTGCGACTCAAGTTAGGAAAAAAAAGGGTCGTAATAACACACAAAGCTAATCGCAAGTGTAAACAAAGGAAGTAAACTGAACTTTGCAATCATCAAACCGCGAAAACTTAAAATTTAAGATACTATCTTCAAAAAAGCATACATACAAACAAATAGGTTTTGAGTTTTTTTTAGGAAAAATTATATTATTTGTGTACTCTTAAATTAATTTTTGCGGTTTGATTTTGATTTTTGTTTCAAGTTCACTGCAGTTCCTTTGTTCGATTCAATTAACTTTACTACGTTCATAACGTTCATTTTTATCAAATACAAAAAAATACTTCGTTCCTGAACTTCTCTTTCAGCAAATTTTCTGAACAACTGCTAATCAGTCTCGAACAATTTTCCAGAAAACGCATTAACCATTAGTCATTCCTGAATTAAAACTTTTCTCCATACATTGCTCTTCATAGCTTCATGCATGCAATTTGACGAGAACTTTCTTCGTGGTATTTCGATGGATCGTTGAGCATAAAATGCACTTCCCAAATAGCAAAACACGGCCATCTCTCAAATTTCAATTGTTTTTGAAAATAAGCTTTTAAAAACTAACAATATTATGTCGTGATTCTAAAAAACTTCTAAAAAGTTGCATCTCTTAACTTATGTTTTAATCATCGATCGCTGCTGTATAACAAATAAAAACGAAAAGTTGGCTACGCAATTAAAAATCGCCAAAAAAAATAAATTTTACAGAACTTCATTTAACACTACGAACTTTCTTTGAGGAACGGAGAGAGAATCACGCAATCCTACGTCATATTTCCTTCTAGCTCTAGAATGGAAGAAGTAAAGACACTTGGAGCAAGCTCGTTGCACTTTTCAGAAACAATGTTTATTTTCTTTGTAAAAATTGGGTGCTATGTGAAGAATAAAGTTCAATCCTCACAATTGGCTGGTGTTTTTTTTTGTTCTCGGTTATTCGCAGCCAAATGACATGCGCTGCAACAGAATGAGTTCAAATTAACTTTCTTTAAACCTCTTTTTCAAATTAAACTTCCTCTCAACATAAGAAGCGATGCTTTTGGGATACTTTAGTTACCCTGAGATTAACAGATGAAAAAAGATGAATGTAAAACCTAAAATTTTGTGACATGAAAAAGTGAAGCATTTAATTTAGTTCTTCAGCATTAAGTAAATTTGGAAAGTTCTAACTAGCACCAACATGCATCCAAAAAAATCATTATTGATGCAAACTACTTTTGCAATTTAATTGAGTTAAAAATCAAGTTTGACAAACAGACGTGAGATTATTATAAACTAAGTTTTTCGAGAATTGTTCATTGGCACACAATGAAGAGAAGTTAGTTCGTAGATGGCTGGTCACTGTTCAGAGTTGTTTCAGAACTGATGGTACCTGGCAACAAAACAGAGCTCATTTATCCATGGAAAAGACCAACATTCGAGCTGTTGTCAATATTATGAGCTTGATTAAAATGTTTTTTTGGACTGGTGATTATTTATTCGCACTCGAGTAAAAAGACCGTTTACCCCACTTGCAATTAACGAATCTACCAAACCAAATTAAGCCTTCACCAAACTTTTCTCTAAATAGTAACCACGTCTACAATCTGTTCAAGCAATTAAACTTCAATATTTCAAGTAATTTCATGAAGCGAATCGGTTGGCAAACAAATTTAGTTTTTATTGAAAGGATCAAGCGATGATTTTTGAATTAGTTTAAGTTGTTAATTAGACCGAAACGGTTTGCAAAAATTTCATGTTTTTCTTATTGGAGCTATGAAAATTTGAAATTTTTTAATCGAGTGAATTGGTTCGCGAAAAGTTCGATTTTTCTAAGCAAGCTTTTCAAGCTATTAAACTATGAAATTTTTCATGTCATTTCATAGCGCAAATCAGTTTGCCAAAAGTTGGTTTTTGTAAGCATTCGGGTTTCTCTTTTTAGTTAACTAGTTTCAGACTCAAATGACTCTGTAAACGCAAAACTTCGGACAAAAAGTGGTCAGGTACTGTCTAGCCTTGAAGATGAATCGAGTTCATTTTGTCTAAAGAGTTTTGAACTTTTTTCAGAAAGAATATTCTAGAATATTCCAGAACTTAGAATGATTGAAAGTTCTTGAAACGCCTCTTAAACGTTGAGCTCGATGGTTGCTGTGAATGATTCTTGGAAGTTCTGATCTAAGTCTTTTTAAACGTTGTGCTCGGCGAAAAAGTTAAAACGTTAAGTCCATAGCGCATTAAGACTTCCATTTAATATATAAGAAGATATAAGATAGTAAATGCAAAATTGTTGTCAATATCTTTTCGGTTAACGAATCTGAACGAAGTTAATTAACCTAAAACTGCTCGTTTTCATGTCAAATTTCTGTTTTTCACTTATTTCCACACGTAAAACCGGGTCCAAAAAAATCTAATTAATCTAAAATATTATAGCTTTCGACCGATTAAACTGGTCAAGGTGAACGTTATGGTCAACAATTTAACATTAACTACATATACTAGTTCAAATGACTCACTTGTAGCAGCTGGACTGTTCAGTTCACATGCATTTGACCTGATCAGTCTCTGACCAACTTCCAAGTCCTCTAAGGTCAAATGATTTCTGAAAGATGTCTGATCATTATAGGCAGCATTCAGTGAGTTCCATCCTCCGCCAGTTGCGCTTGCAGTTTGGGGCTGTGGAAAGTTGTAACCATCATGCCAGTAACTGCCCGTGGCTTGGTTGATTAAATTATTCAAGTTTGTCCGCGTGAATAAACCATCGCCCTGATCCGAACTATTCTGATTCTGGTTTCTCTGAGGCTGCGTTTGCGTGCTGTTACCTTGCCTACTGCCACTCATGGACTGAATGTCCCTTATGACGTCGGAGATTCGAGCCTGATTCAGGTGAACTTGAATACTCAACAAGTTATTCAACGTTTGCTGAGTTTCGGAGAGATACCTCTCTAATCTAAAACAACACATTCAACACAAATGCGAAGCTGCTCTTTGAAAGTTTGCAAGAAAAATTGGCAAAAAAAAGTTTAGAAACTAGCAAAAGATGTTGACTCAAGTTGAAAAATTGAAATTGCGTTATAACAATCTAGTCAATAGACATTTGGAAAGCTTCACTGAACTCAAGAAGCATTTTCGGAAAAAACATATTGCCTCATAGTTCTGTGAACTTCAAGAATATTTTTGTGCAAGTATCATAGAAAAATCCTAGCTCTTAAATTTTCATAACGAAAACTGAGAATAAGACAAAAGCAATCAAACATTTGGTTATCTTTTAAAAATTTTCTGTTATTGTTTATCTTTGAACTGGGAGAGTGAAACTAAGGGACATTATAAGAGAAATTATAATTAAAAGACTTTAATATGATACTACACTTAAGATCCGACGTACTTTATTTGAGTTAGGCAAAATAAGGAAGAAAATTTGAAGCAAGAAAAATAATTAACTTGTTTTTGAAAACAGCCGAAAGACCAATGAAAAAATAGATATACCCTTAATTTATCAAATTTCCAGAACAATTTATGAGAGATACTTTCTGATAAAACTAACTCAATTAGAGAAAACTGGATCAATAGGTCATCAATTTATTCTGCAAAATGTTAAGACCCGCTATCGAAATTAGAAGTCGTTCGCGTTTTTGGCGACGTGTACAATTTTGGTGCTCGATCGTGGAATTGTCTCCCTTTTAACAATCTAAATTCTAAAATCTATTTTTGAAAGTAAAAGCCACGTTTTCTCTAGCTATTTGAATGTTTGTTTTAGGAGAGCGTTGTTTGCCTTTCTTCCAGGAAATAAAATAGAACAAAACTTAAAAATAAATCAAAATCAAACCGCGAGAAATCAAATTTGAGGGTGAAAAAACTGCAAAATTATATAGACTAATTTAAGTCTTTCACTATATCCATTGGAAAACAAAAATACCCTACACTATAGTTCTTTCCCACCCATTTAGGGAAAAAGAAACAGAAACTGGATCAACATATAAATTCCCTTTACACTTGGAACTATGAAAATAAAAGATTACTTTCTAGGCTAAAAATCAATCACTTTGTTTGTGCCATCTGCACTTTACTAGTTGAGAGCGTAATCTGTTTTATTTTAGGCAAATAAATTTCATGGAGTTGAAAAAGAAGTCAAAATTTAAACAGTATAACATCAACTTTTTATAGTATTTTTTGAAAAAAAAAATGACATAATTAGTGTCTTCACTTTCATCATTGACACTTAATTACGATTAATATGATGGTAAACATTTTTATTCTATAACACAGAGGCGAAGAAGCGGAGCTTCGCATTGCTTGCAATAAAACACAAACAGAAAAAACTGAAGTCGAAAAAAACGTTGAAAAAAACTAGTTCTAACGGAACCCCCGTTAATCGATAAAAGTTCATTTAAGCAAACATGCTAAGCAAAACATGCTAATTGAATATTAAATAAGCAGCGGAACAAAATCATTACACTGAACCATGAAATTTTTTTTAAAATTCTGTGAAACCCCCTGAAACCACAATTAACTACACTTGCAACTATAATGAAGAAAAAAAAGGTCCAGTCCTTAGGGTGAAAAGGCGACGGCGTTACCTTTAGGCCAAGTTGGAACGAGCCTGGAAGTTTTTAAGATTCAGTAAAAAAGCAACGAGAAAAGCAAGTAAGAAGGGTTATTTACGGAAAAAAGTCTTGTTCCTGATTACAAGACACTGGGTCTCGCAAGTGTAATGAAACTCCATTTCGTTCAATGACACTTGAGTGCTTGTATAATAGATATTGAAGTAATGTCACAACCTTGTCGTCTCTTGGGCCATTGATAAAAACTGTGCTGAGAATCCCGAGAGTGAACCAGTGATACCCGATGATCCAATCGAATTTGGCTCCGAGTTTATATTCCTCGGATCTGCTGCTCTTGTTGGTAGGGAGTAGGGATTCTGTACATTCCTCTGTCTGTTCAAAGTGTTACCTCCGGGTGCTGTCTGACTTCGCTGTTGGAAGGTATGGCTACTGTCGTTCACTTCGAAATTGTTCGTTCTTGGGATGCTCGTTCTGTGCGCGTTCAGAGAGAGAGTATCGAAATCTTCGGGGTCAAAGCCAGCATCTGAAGTTTCCGTTATGTCATCTAAATAAAAACAGTTTACCAATTAATTAGAATCGCTGACTATTAAAAACATAATTTTCAGGTTTTGGCCATTATTTGACTTCAAGTTTGAAAACGAGCGTTCGCTTTAATTTGAAGTCAAATCATAGTTACAAATTAATCATTCGATACAAGGGTTATTTCAGCATTACTAATAATCAGTCAACACAGCCATTTAATTAAGAATTGTAGAATGGTAGCACCTATAGCACCACTTATATTTGCGACTTAGTTTGGAGAAAATTGGTATCGTGCTATCACACGACGCTGCGTTGTGTAAGCAGACGGGCAATAGTCCGAAAAAGCAGACAGATCCCGGCCGGATTCGAACCACAAGCCTTTGTCGTCTCAAGGAGGTGTGTTACGTTTACGCCAGATGCGCTGTATTTTTGACTGATTTCTTTTTTACACAGAGGGTAAGCGGATCTTCGCACCACTTGCGATACAAAACAAGAAAGCCGCTATGTCGGAAAAAATCGAGAAAAAAATTTCAAGATGTCAAAAGAAACTATACCTGTCAAAATGAATCAGGCTAGTTTTAAAACAAACACCAGCTAAAGAAATATAATCTGAAATTGGCATCTGAATCAAACTACCAAAATAACCTTAGAAACCTTTCGAGCCAAAAAAATCAATAAGACTTCAGACTTATTAAAAGTTAACAACTCCCCCTCGCCCTCAAAATACAAAAAAACTTAAATTGTTCGTCAAAAATATGAGGCCATTAAGCCGATATAAAATAGACCGAAACCTATTAACCCGACAAAAAATCAAAATGGAAAAGCTGAAAACATATTTAAAAAAATTAAGACTTAAAATTTATCAAGCCGCCCTCAACCTCAAAACACGCACGCATACAGGCGAAAGATATTGCAAATGATTATAATGCACAGAACATCAAGCTAAGTATGCTCTTTGAGCTCTGTTGCTGTTATGTAACAAAGAGAAAACTTAGCTTAGCTGACTCTTTAAGCTTTATACCACTCGAAGTGGATAACTGTATTAAACTGATGAAACCGTCGAAAGCCTTCGGACCAGACGGTATCGGCACGGTTCATCTCAAACATCTTGGCCCGCTAGCTATTAACCTTTCTTGGAAAAATTTTCAATCGCTCTGTCTCATGAAGTCATAAGTAGTGCCCCTCCCGAAACCTAACAAGAACTTAAAAATTCAAAATCCTAGAGCTCGGTCTCAATTTTAAGTCCAGCCGCTAAAATTTAAAATCGATAATCAACCCAACTCTAACTAAACACCTCCCAAAAGCCCACATTCAACATGACTTTCGCTAAATGCACTCAACCCTTACGGCATTATCAGTCCGCGAATTTTTTTTATCAGTGATGAAATCAGACAACCAAGGCCACCCTCTAGAACAGTTTTGGCCACTCTAGACTTATTCAAAGCTTCGACATGGTCTGCCATCGAACTCCTGGATCTCCTTCGTGGCACCAGCGTACCAGGTAGCTTAACCAGATGGTACTCAAATCATCTGAGTGGTCGCCAAGCGAAACACTTTTCAGGGATGCTCTGTCTACATCCAGGATTGAACGTACAGGTGTCCCTGAAGGATCAGACCTATTACCAACATTATTCGAGTTTTACGTTCATGATTTCCACCCCCTTTGTAGTCAAACAACTTTCAAAAGACCTCATCTACCCTATCAAACTACTTAGCTAAGTTACACCAGTTACTTGCGTCTAGACTTCTAGATCTCTTCATTTTTCCTGATCAAAAAGCTTCGCCAGCTTTTTGCTCGTTCAACAAAAAATTCAGCACCAACCGCCCAGTCAAAATAGACAATACACCCCTATCATTGGAAAAGCACCTCAAAATACTCGGTGCCTTCACTGAGCCATCCCTTGAACTCTCAGAGCACTGTTAGCGAATGACAGCAAAAGCCTTGCACAGGATTGCGAAGCTGAAGGCCCATCTGGAAAAAATTGGGGTCAGTCAGAAGAGACATTACTGGTTACCTAGAAGGATTTGGTCAGACCAAATTTAGATTAAGCATACCCAGCATGGTCCCATGCCGCCAGTTTCTCGTCTTTGAACACACTTCAAGTAGTTCAAAACGCCGCTCTCTGCACTATAATTGGTTGTATAGAAGGGAGTGCCCCAGAACTCTTACCGTTTCAGAGTGTAAAATTTAGAATGTTGCCTATCATAAACTACTTTCCGCTCAACTTACCCTCAAAAGATATATCCCCTCAAACCTTTTTTTTTTTTTTTTATCACTATCACCCCAGTATATATATATACTCCCACAATAGAACATGTCCTCCAAGACACATTCAAACTCTTCTTTTACCACTTTAACTAAGCCCTTTCGCCTTAAAAACTACAAATCGGATTGAAAACAACCACAATAATAGTGTCGAGCAAACACCCTGATGTCTCTCCCAGTAAAGAATCCCTCCCTTGCGCCACCAGAAGAACCCCTTTCCCAATTAAGGTTCGATTACAGCCCCTTCTTGAACTCCTACCTAAATAAAACCAACCCAAACGTCCATCAAAACTGCCCCTACTGTACTTCCCAAGACACCACTTTACACCTTTTCAACTGCTCGAAGAATACCACTACCTTGATTGAAGATGAGAAATTTCTCAAACTCGGTTTAGGCATGCCGGACGAGCCCCCTCGGGGTTAACAACACACGTATACATTTTTTTTTTCGCTCGTCAAATAACGCAATATGAAACCATTAAGCCAATATAATATAGGCCGATACCAATCAAGCCGAAAAAAGGCCAAAAAAATGTAATGAAAAATTTAACCATAAACTCTATTAAGCAATTTGTGCGATCCAGAGGTGAGCATAAAAACTAACTAAGTTTCACTTGAAACAACCCAAAATTAGGCCACATTTATCAAAACACTAAGAGCAGCTAAAATAGTAATTGCTTATAGCAAAAAACAGAGGCGAAGCTGTGCTTCGCAAACACTAGCAAGAACACGGCAAAAATAAGCTCTATAAAATGCAATCAGTTTGAAAAACAAGAAGGTTCGTACCAATACACTACGCTCGCAAGCTCGCTAGTATTAACAATTCTACTATGTGGCAACTAAGCCGACAACCATAAGCAGTCAAATAATAAGCCGACAATTTTTTTTTGAAAGAAATGTACATTTATTATGAATTGAACCCAAAGTTACCACCTCTAATTTTAACCATTCTGTGAACTAGGTTATTCACGGGAAAAAGTTCAGCGCCCGATTGCACCACTCTTGCTTATCGCAAGGGCAATGAAGCAAAATTAAACACGTAACATTTTTAGGTGCTAAATCTTGTCAACGAAGTTATTTACGTAAAAAGTCTAGCACCCGGCTGCAACACCCTTACTTATCGCAAGGGTAAACATTATGGCAAATATAGCATAGTCATTTAGATGGCAATGCTTGATGCATTGAAAATCGTGTTCCTGTTCTTTTTAAATGCAGTGCCCTAAAAATATTTGGAACCAGAAGCCAAGGAAAAATCAAAAAGTGCCAACAAATCTCACCAAGGTCTTCCCTAGTTCCCTTTCTCTGGTTCAACCCTTCCTCCTCGTCCGAGCTGTCTTCAGTAGTTTCTCCTGTAGTCGTACCTTCCACTGCTTCCGGTCTCTTTCTGGCCAGCAGGAAGTGTGCATGCTCCACCATCGGTTCCAGCACCGAGGCTGTCTGCAGTATTTGATTGGGGCTATCGCCACACTCTTTCAACAGCTTCACAATCTGAACAGAATTAAATAGCATATCAACTTTTATTACGAGACAAAGAATTTTTAAAATATCTGAAATTAACTTTTACGCCACAAAATTATCAGGTACGACAATTCACCTGAGGAAATATTTCATTACTGTCTTTGTAATTTGGCAAAATTTATTAGTCCGACCACTCTCGAAGAGTGGCAACAAACCATTGCAAAAAGTTCGTTTGTCAAAGCTCCCCTCATAATTGCTAAATGACGCAAGCCAATTATGACGCATTAGCAGTATCAGTAAATTTGAAAAACAAGAAATTTACCAAATAACAGGCCTCAATTTATGGAGCGGACGCATTTTAACTAATATACGAAAAAGTTCATTAAAAACATCCGATCCTGCCCAGGTTCCAACCCTGAGACTAAATGAGAGACTGAAGATCGACTAAATGAGACACTGAAGCCAAAGTTTTAACGCTATATTTGAAAGCTATTTTAGCCATAATCACCGCTCTTTTCTGCATTAACCACCTATTTTAATCGCCCCTTCTGGAGACAAAAAGAAGATGAAATTAATTTCTGATCTTTTTAGATTTTTTCAGAATCTAAAAATGTTGGCCATGACAATTTTTTTAGAAAATTGTCATGGCACTCAAAGGAGCCGAAAAAATGTTGGCCATGACAATTTTTCAGAATCTAAAAATGTTGGCCATGACAATTTTTTAGAGAAAATTGTCATGGCACTCAAAGGAGCCAAAAAAATAGCCAACAGACAGTTGAAAAAGAGTCAGTGAACGAAATTATATAACAAAAAACTGACTTGTTTTTTGAAAAATCTCAACTTGATGGAAAATTGTCATAGCACTCAAGGGAAAATTGTCATGGCACTCAAAGGAGCCAAAAAAATAGCCAACAGACAGTTAAAAAAGAGTCAGTGAACAAAATTATGCAAACAGAGGCGACGTTGAGCTTCGCACCACTTGCGATGCAAATATGAATGACAATGAAAATCAAACAAAAAAATTCAAAAAATCGTTTTTGTTAATGAAAACTGCAACAAAAGCCTCGTAGCTGAATAAGTTAGCTTTATTTCAAGTTGCTGGAAATGCCATGCTTGAGACAAAAGCCCGGGAGTTCGATTCCAGTCGAGAGCTGTTTTTCTTGCAAATAGAGATTTTTCCCGTAGCTCAATGGGTTAGCTTTATTGCAAGTTGCTATCATCCACATGCTTGAGACAACAAAAAATTATCCACACAGAGGCGAAGCTGAGCCTCGCGCCACTTGCGATACAAATATGAATGACTATGAAAATCAAACGAAAAATTCAAAAAAAAAAACTGTTTTTGTCAATAAAAATTGCAACAGCTCATGGGTTAGCTTTAATCCAAGTTGCTGTAATCCCCATGCCAGTTCGAAAAGAGTCAGTGAACGCAATTATACACACAGAAGCGAAGCTGAGCAGACAATTGGAACAAAAGTTGGAAAAGAGTCAGTGAACACAATTATACACACAGAGACGAAGCACACACACACGCAGAAAATTTTTTTTTGGACGCAACGACGCAATAAGAGGTCACTTAATCGATATCAATCAGGCCGACATTTATTATGCCGATAAAAAAGACAAAAGAACAGTTTTTCACAAATCAAGCTGGTAAATTACAACCAATGTGAAAAGCAAGTTTCGATTCGACCGGACTTTTAGGACTTTTTAAATGCTGAAAATGACTGCAGTGAACATTGTTTAGAGCTAAAATAAACGATTGTTAGATAGGGCAAATAAGCCGACAAAACATAAGCAGACAGATAATAAGCCGTATTTTTTTGAACCGGAACATTTTCAGTTTGAAAAAAAAACGGGCCCTGGTCAGATTCGAACCCAGGACTTTTGCCGTCCTAGGCGTATGCGTTACCAACAGGCTAAGTGTGCAGGAAACACTACAAAACTTGAATTCATTATGAACCAAGGAAGGTACCATCAGGAGTTCAATTAGCCTGAGGAAAAAATTGTTTACGGAAAAAAAGTCTAGTACCCGATTGCAATACCCTTGCTATCGCAAAGGTAAATACATGATTTGAAATTTTAAAAGAAATGAAGTTTTCTGGATAGCAACGCTTGCTCAGATGAAAATCAATAGGTAAGCACAAATGTCATGGCACTCGAGAGTATAGAAAAATGTCATGACACCCAAGGATATCAAAAAAAAGGCCAACAGATAGTTAGAAAAGAGTCCGTGAAAAAACTGGATCAATCAGTAAAAATTTTGTTTCGCTGGGTAACTTGATAATTGAATTCGATTTTCGAAACAAGAAGTCGATCATGTTTTTCGTGACCTTAACATTTATGCTGTTCGATAAAGGAGTTTGCCTTCCTTTTAATAGAGGAAATAATCTGAACTTGAAAAAAAAGTAAATTTGAGCCTCAAGATATTTCTGACTTTTCCTGAAAGTCAAAAAAAAAACATCGCGACTAATATAAGAGTTTGAAATACGCTACCTTTTTAAACGAAAGTTATTCAAAGTTATTGTTGCTTTTCTGTATCCACTTAATTCATGCTTGTTAATTGCTGCCTGGTATTGAATAGTCAAGCAACTGAGAAATTGTGAAAAGATATTGTGATGGTAGTAAAGTAGAGCTTATGAAGCAGTAGGTCTCAGGTTCGAATCCATAAATTTCGCAATTTCTTTTCTAATTTTCGTATTTTTAGATTTTTAAGTGTTTCACGGTTTGGCTTAGATAGGTGAATTGCAGCCTCGACTCTGTTTAACAAACTTACAGCAGACGCTTGCGCTATATTACGAATTCTGTTTTGCATTTTCGAACTTGACTCACAAATTAGTGCACAATTTCAAAATCTGTGTAGAATAACACATGTTTCTTATATGTACAAAAAAACGATTGCGTAATCACTCACTAATTAAATATACACTTACCGTACTGATGAAGCACTGCAGACTGCTGAATATTTCGCCTATTTGTAGCAAAGAGTTTTCATCAGTTCCAATCCATTCCAGCACAGTTTCTGTCAAATTAAATACTCAATGAAATTAAACAAAACTCAGATACTTTTTTTGAATTAAATGCAGCCCTACAAACCAAGTCCTCCGTCCAAAACTTCATCAGTTTTCATGTCTACCCTCAAATAATCGCGAAAGGTCATCAATAGCATATTTAGAAGTTCCTGAAAACACAATAAAAACTTAGTTATTTCGATCGATATGGGTTTAGTAAACAATGTTAGATAAGCCCCTACTGTGGTAATCTGCAGTCTATTTTGACAGTGAGTTCTTTGCGTGTCCAGGATCCATAAATCCAGTATCTATTAAAGAAAAATGAGATAACACATTGTCAAAAACATTACTATCACTAAGCAGATCATGCTGAAAAATTACCCTTTCGGTCTTCGTTTCGATGAAATACGTCAAGGCATGTCGAATTCCATCCACAATGCTTCTAAAATTAAAATAGTGATTAATCGGAATTATATCACTGAGGCGAGATTGCGCTTCGCAAATACTAGCGAGAACACGACAAAAAAGCAGCGCTATAAAGTGCAATAAGAAAAAGTATAAATAAGCCTCGAATTGAAAAAAAAAATCGGCTACGCCTTCGTACATACGACCTACTGCTTCCTAGAATCTATGAGTATCACACACTAACCACGGACGCTTAATTAATGACAAACACTAGCCACAAATAAGGCAAAGAACGGATGCAGTGCAATTTCCATCCAATGCTACAGCGAAATTTCCATATAAGTGAACACTTGTATTTGCAAGAAATAATACATTAACGCTCGCAAGTGTAATGTTCAACAATATAACGGAGGCGGAGCGGATATTCGCACTACTTGTGATACAACACAAACGTAGCAAGGCAAACTAGCCAACAAAAAATTCAGACGGAAGCCGCTAAGTCAAAAAATACTTTAAAAATTAGTTCAATCAAAATTTTCTTATCTTTGTCTCGTTTTGTTTTGATCAAAGATTATGTTAAAAATATAAATATATATGTCGAAAAAATTGACTGTGAAGTAAGCGGTAACAAAGCCGACCATACTTGAGGAGACATACGTCGAGCCAAAAAAAATAGTTTTCATAGCCCCCAATCAAAACACACGCATAAGAAAAAATTTTCGCGCATAAGAATTATTTTTCGCTAACCAAACGAAGCAATAAAAAGCTATTAAAACGATATAATATCAGCTGAAAATGTAAACCAAAAATGATAACAAAAGAAAACACCTCATACGTTACCAAATCGAAGCAGATAAATTTACACAACATGAAAAGCAACTTTCGCAAGGATAAATAACATGTTTAACACATTTGTGATTTATTTCCAAATATCCATGAACACATGAAAACAGAAAAAAATCATCGAAAATCGAAAGTTGAAAACATAGCCAACGGAAAGTTGGAAAAAGTTAAAAAGAACAAGGAAACCGAAAAAAAAACTGATTGAATTCCACTGCAAAAAACATACCAGGTTGAAACTCTTTGATCTTTACGAGCAAATTACGATTGACACTTTTTTGAAAAAAACTAATCCAATTTAAGAAAACTGGAGCAGTGGGTAAATTTTAATTCCTTGGGAAATATAAAAACGGAAATCCACATTCGAGACAAGAACTCGTCTACGTTTTTCGTGCCATATCCACTTTCGTAATTGGAGAGCGTAAAAAACCTTGTCTTTAGCAGCTGAACTTTAATCGCACTCATAAAAAATCATATATACCTAAGTGCATTCATAAATGCATTAGTATGGATGAATGTACTTATGTAGTTATTGTAGCAGTTTAAGACTTTCTGAAAAAAAGACATCATTCTTCTACGCTTCAAAAATTAAATTATTGTCAATCATATGTTTTCCTTTTTCCTTTTTTTGACCTTTTGAAAAACGGGGCGAAGCTTTGTGTTCGAGTGTGTTGTAGTTTTTTTTGTTTTCCACGCAAAATCAGGTACCACAAATAATTCTGACTGGGTTGATTGATAAATCAAATCGAAGTTATTTTAGTCTTGATTCTTACGTCATAAAATAGTTTCCAAGGTGATGATAACCATGATTAAGGCGATGGTAACTTAAATTGGTGATTCAGGCTATAAAAAAACTTGATTATTTTAAATAAAAACTAGTTTTGAAAAGAAGCTTTATCCTGAGGAAAAGATTCAAAAAAACTTTTGTTCTTTTTTTGCAAACTGTTGTCGATTATCCCTAAATTCCTAAACTTTTTGGGTGTGCTAAACTTTTCGGGTAATTTATAGTTATCTCGTCACACTCTGCATAAAAAACGAAACTATTTTCAAGAACTTATTAATTTGAAGAACTTTTATTTGTAGTTTTTAAGAATATGGTCGGACCAATATGTGATACTTGCACAGCAACCGCTTACCCTTGTATATCATTTGTTTTCGGAGTTAAGCTTATAATTAGCTTTCTTTCCCGTGAAACGTTGAAATAGGTTTGACACTTGGAAATAACTTCAATTTGCAGAAATTGTCAGAAATACACCACTCTTCAATAAAATTGAAAACTCTGTGCACTTCAAAAAAATTCATGGTTGGCACTTTTTTTACTTATAGACGAAGCTGCGCTTCAAAAACACTAGCTAGAACACAAAAAATAGCTTTATAAAGTGAATTTTTTTTAAAAAAAAAGAAGTCAGCCTCCATTTAGTAAAACTTTGCAACGTATTGGCTTCGAACCTAAAAGCTCGAGAATTGGCGTCTCACGCCCTGCCCTCTCGTTTTATTATTGTTATTTTCTTTGGAACAAACAGCTTTTTTCGGATCATTTGATGAAATAAAAATGGATCAACTGTGTTAACTTATTACAATTCCAAAGTCATGATATCAAAAAGCCGTAAAGATGCCACCAAAAGTTCCACCAATATTTGCTGTGACTAAAAAGAATGGTCTTAGGTTAAAAAGAGAATGGTCATAGTATTGCACTAACGCTCACTTAAGTTCGTTAGTGTAATGAACTACTAAAAAAGAACTCTAAATTACCTATTAGAAAAAACTGGGTCAATGGGTAATTTTTTAATTCTGCTGTAAACTCTGTCCGTTATTGTAATTTATTCATTCATGTTTTTTGCGCCATTTGCACTTTTCTATTAGAAAACATGATGTGCTTTCCATTCAGCAAATGAATTAATGAGAGTCAACTACTTCTTAAAAATAAGAAAAACCACAAAACTTAGATAAATCACTTCGTTCATAAACGGTTAAAAAGTAGATTTGTGCTCCAAAGTTTGTATTTTAGCCGTTTTCCTTTAGTTTACTTACTTTCTCTTCCCTGACTTCGTAGGGGTCGATACTTCGCACGACTGTCCCGTCTGACTATCTCCCGATTTATGTCTTGACTTTTTGGTCTTTTGCTCCCCACTGCCACCAACGCCTACAGGCGAAGGAATACCGGTGCACTCTTTCAGCGATATCCTCGCTAGTTTTTTGTCCCTATCTGAGATCGAGACTGTTTTAATGTCTTCCACAGCTGGATCGGATCTGAACTTGGCTGACGTTTTGGAAACCAGATCAGTTACGAGGTCGTCTTCCACGTTCACTTTCATCGGATCCGCGTATGGCACTAAACATTAACGAACGTCTCAGCAAAAATTTGATATTATTCACTTTGGGCAATAGTTTGTCCACTAGCTTTCTATACCCGAAAGATTTAGGAAACTAATGAATCGAATACATGCTCGAATATTTACCATCTGTCTGTCACAAATCATAAAATTCACCAACAGCACCAAATAATTTAGCAATCCAGGAAACTAATGAATCGAATACATGCTCGAATATTTACCATCTGTCTGTCACAAATCATAAAATTCACCAACAGCACCAAATAATTTAGCAATCCATTTGACTCAATCTAAATTATCGTACATGGGTTCGAATAATGACTGATGATTAGTTTACGTCAGTTTACTAAACAATTACCACGAACTGGGAACTAGAAAGATGATGACGTCGAAACTATTTTGGAAGGATGTTTCCAATACTCCAACAAAATAGTGAACCAGGCTAAATCGGACACGATTTCAAGACACGAGGATTTTATTCTTGGCAAGCGATACAAACCGCATATCAATTATACCTAATGAATTTAAATACAGAGGCGAAGCTGCGCTTCGCAAACACTAGCCACAACACACAAAAGGCAAAAAGAGAAATAAGCCTCGAATTAGCAAAAATTCGTCTACGTCGACGAAAATTTCATTTGACGAGTTAGGTTGGAAAAAAGGAGGTTTATTCTAAGGCACTAACGCTCGCAAGCTGGCCAGTGTGAAAAACATACCTGATTTGCTCCGATCAAAGACTTCTTTATTTAGCCCCTGGCGACTGTCAGACTTCGGAATGTGGTCTCTACTGCCCACAGCACTGGACTCACTGCTCCTATCGCTTCCTCCCCCTCCTCCCCTTGCACTGGGGGGCTGACTCCTGCAGTGCTTTGCAATCCACGACTCCATCTTCAGTTCCTTCGGGGAGATCCTGTCTTCGGGATTTGTCTTACAGCACCTGCAATGTATCAGCGTCATCATCGCTTACTTTTCTGTTACGCTCAAAACAAGTTTTCACAGCTGATCTCTTTTATCCACTTGATTTAACTCTAAAGCCAGTCAAAATTTTGAAAAAATAATTCAAGGGAGCCTTCGTAATTAGCATGTTCGACACGCACACCGTTATCATATGGCATGTCACAAACGTGGGTTATTATTAGTCGATATATTTAAGCGCTGATTCAAATTAAGATACTTACTTTTTAAAAATCATAATGACTCAGACTTACTTTTCAATGAATTCGGCAGCTTCTTTCGATGCTTTTTCGGGCACTGGAGGAGTCACGGTTCCTCTGCCCACTTGGAAAATGATGAACAAAGGGTCAATCTGAAACAAAACACATCACTCTTAATTTTACGATATTTACAATAACTCGTTTCATGACGCCGAAAACTAATAAGCTTAATTTTATGCTTTATATAAATGATCGTTTACCTATCATTATCACCAAAAACAATTAAGCGCCCTTCAATTTCGTGACAAACTCCACTTTCTTAAAACTGACTTTACTTACCCCATGGAACGGAATCTTTCCACTGATCATTTCGATGACCGTGCAACCCAAAGACCAGACATCTGCAGTGTACGTGTAACCACGAGGACATGCTATCACCTCTGGTGCCAAGAAGTTGGGCGTCCCTGAAATACATGCAATAACATCAAGCTGCTTGGGTCAACTTTTTGAAAGTTTAGTTTTACTCTTTCATCAATGAAGATGGAGAGCCACATACTGAAAACAATGGAAAAATTGCTCGAATAGAATAGACACCTTTCATGTTGGTATTGAGAAGGTTGCTGATCTTGGACAATTGTTTGGATGTTCCGAAGTCAGCTATCTTCATGATGGGACACTCTTTATTGTTGAGATCCACGAGCACGTTCGCACCCTTGATGTCCCTGTGAATCACTTCATGCTCATGCTGAAACATGAATATTGCTAGTAACAATCTACATTCTGATCTCAGGAAAGGCAATATAGTTTTTTAAATGGCATTTAAAAAAAGAACGGCTGCAAAATGATACCGCTTTTAGACACAAATTTACACGTGTTTACCATTGTTGCAACATATTTTGTATATATTGTAACAATGAATAAAATGTGTTTTAAGTTGTGCTTCACTCCAAAAAAGAAAAAAATATCAATCAAAGAACACAAATTTGCACAAGCGCAGAAGACAACTCAACCTGTTAAAATATATTGACTAGAGAAAAGAAAGAAGTGTAAAAATTACTTGTAAGTCGAAAAAACTAAATCTAGCAAAATTCCATACTTTTGTCTGGGATGAGATTCATAAACAGCTTTAACAAGCATAGAGAATCAATGACCTAGTGGCAACTAAGGCTTGGTTAAAAAAAAAACTTGGGTCGAATCGTTAAGCCGAAGACGAAACTATAGCCATGAAAAATTCAAGCAAGCCATAAAATTTTTGAAATACAACTTTCTAAGATCCATACCTCCTGGAAGAGGCAAAACTTTATTACAAAATTCACTTATGACACTTTTTTATTAGCCACCCTTTTTATTAGCCCCTGCTCAATGCAGAAACAACCGCGGAGGACGGTGATCTTATCCATTTCGCCGCAGCCGATACCACCTTGAGGAGGCGGATGACTCTGGGACCCGTACAACAGTGACCGAAGTAGGATTCGAACGACCGACCCTCGAGTTGAGAGACGCGTGCCTTACCCCACTCGGCCACCTACTACGCAATACAAGTTGACTAAGCCGATACAACATAAGCCGAACCCGTTTAGCCAAAGAAAACTAAAAATCGGAGTTGGTAAATCTACAACACAGAGGCGAAGTTGCACTTCGCATACACAATCAAAAATATGACCGACAACGCTACTGGGAAAAACTGAATGAGTCTACAAAATTTCTTAAGTGACGCACACCAACTATGAGTCTACATAAATACTAAGTGACGCAAGCCAATAATGACGCATTAGCAGTACCAGTCAATTTGAAAAAAAAAATTACCAACTAACATGCCTCAATTTATAGAGCGGACGCATTTTAACTAGCATACGAAAAAAATTCATTCGACAAAACATGCGACCCTGCTGAGGTTCGAACCCTCTTATTTTGGTGCTATTCTCCTTCCCTACCTCTACGCTACAGAAACATATCACCTTGAAGCTAAAGTGCTATTTGTAATACAATAGTGTGTGTTATTATCCTTAGAATTTGCTGTACTTAATCGCTGGTTATTGATCTTATGCATATACTACAATAAAAGAGCATTTTGAAAAAGAGCACTAATATTTGCGACTTAGGTTGGAAAAAAAGTGAGTTCGTAATATCACACTAGCTTTGCTTGTGTAAACAGAGAAACTTTAAATTTGTGTAAAAACTGTTTGAATCAACAATTGAAGAACCCAAAATTGCAACCGAAACAGCTTGCAGATATGAATTGCACTTGAAAACAAAAACGCAAAACTAGCCGAAGAAAGTAGGACGAAAACCACAAATCCGAAAATATGAAAATATTTGAAATTAATTACTACCTCAATGAACTAAGAGGTAGTTTTGCTTAAAACTTTCAAGAAATTAAGCATGTCAGCAGAAGTGAGAATTTAAGCAGAATTTGTAAGCAACGTTGCTTAGGGTAAAAACTATCCTGCCTGCAAGTCTATTGCTCTCGCAAATGAACAAATAGCAAGATTGGTTGATCTTGCGAAAAAATGGATGACGTATAAGTGAGAAGGTTTTTTTTGTTCCGACCCTAGAAAATGAGGAGGAACTTTGTATTCAGGTTGGTTTTAGCGAGACAAACCAGCTTGAAATTTTTGGTCCAATTTCGAGCGAAAGAGGTGAGTAAAATTATCGTAATGGGTGGAGTGTTATATCATATCAAAGTCATTTCAGCCCTGATTCGACCGGCATTAAAGATATTTAAAAACTTTAAAAAGTTGTTCCAGTGTCGAGAAAAACCGGTTTGAAAATTTTGTCAAGCTTCGAGTAAGTAAACCAAGCGAGCAGGCTTTCTATAGAAAAACAAGCCATAAGAAATTTAGTTCAACTCCAGTATAATTTTTTTTTGAAAATATTTTAGCGCCATCTTTGGAACAGAAAATTTCAAAACAATTTCAGCAAAAAAAATTGAACTAAAAATCTTTTTTTTTTGGTTTTTTTTCGACTTAAATCGTAGCCCGATTTGCTTATCTTACTATTACTGTCGAATATGCCCAAATTCTCGGTTTTCGTCAGACCCTTTTATCACACGACTCGCAAAAAACCACACTGAATAAAAAATGAAAAAGTGCTTTTGTTATTTTTAGAAGATTATGGTCGGAAAATTCTGTGCTGCTTACACAACTACCGGCTATCATTGTTTAAATGTGAATTTTTAAAAGTTTTTTAGCCATTGTTATAAAATATGAATTAAATTTGTTTTAAAACTGTTATTGTTTTTAATTATTTCATCAGTCTCTCATTTTATTTTATGCATTGTCCTGATTTTGTTTAGGTTCATTAAAAAACTTTATGATATTCATATTGAAATTAATTGCAGGCTAATACAGTGCCCGTATTCTTCACAGAAATAATAGACCCTACTCCCCTAGAATATTCACCACTCCAAATTTTACTGAATGGACCTACCGGAATTTTATACCATAACATTTATGCCCATTTTAAGTTTATGAAAAATAACCCAGTTTTGAGCACTCCAAAAAAAGGTTTTTGGACGCAGAAAATGTTTCGTCTGGAGTAAATATCAAAAATTTTATGCCAATTTTAGTCTTCAAAAATCTTTGGCTAGATTTCACCTATAAATCAGAATTATTCCAAAGTTGCGGTACCCCTCTGATAATTTTTAACCCCTCCCCGCAATGAAAAACACATATGTGTTCAAAAATTGTCTACCCGCCCAGTAATTTTCGACTGCCCGAGAATTAAGTACTGCAAGTATCAGCAAAAATTAGATTTTTGTTATTTTACTTATTTTTCTTTCTTCATTATATTTTTGTTATTTTGTTTTATATGCAACTGAATTTATTGTTCGAGTGTTACCAAATTATTTGTTTAACTCTTGAGTTAATATGACCTTAAATACCTTGTGGTTTCCATGTTCTCGTCTGTAGAACTTTAAGCTATTGGTCAAACGAGTTTGTCCTTCGTTAGAGGATATTTGTAGAATTTCACGATTACGGCAGTTTTTTGAAGTCGCAGTATCTAACTACTGACTGGACTCGCGAAATTAACTTACCAAATAAATGAGCCCATCGAGAATCTGGTTCGTAAACTGAGCAGCAGTTGCGTCCGGAAGTCCTCCTCTGTAGTGCGAAGTGAGGAAGTTGGACAGACTACCCCCGTTAACGAATTCCATGAAGATGTAGAATTTGCCCACTTCTGGGTCCACGTGGTGTCCCAGGAATTTCACAATGTTTTGGTGCTTGAGACGCATGTGCAGCTGAATCTCATCACGCAACACCTGCATGGAGCCACTAAGAGCACAAAAATTTCATGTCATTACATTGAACACAGTCAATTAAGTCCTCCGACAAAGATGATCCTAAAGTTCTCAAAATGCCATGAATTCATCGACTCTTTTCAGGATTTATCGCCAATTTAAATTTTCGTTTAACTTTTGCAAACCAGTAATTTTATATTTCCCCGAGTTCTCATAAAACAGTACGTGAGACTGAAAAACCCTATTTATCACCGCAAGCAACTTCCGAAAAACGCATTTAGATGCAGTTTTTGGGCGCTTTTGATTTAAAAAATCGGTATATTTACTCCGCGGGCGTCCATTTTGATTTTATTAACATTTTCAATAATATTTTTTCCAAAGCCAACAAGGCTGAAACCATGTTTTGATTTGAAAATAAAGCAATGGTTTTTTATAACACGGCTTTTACCTGCCATTTTCTGACGATCCTCTGAATCCCATTTCGATCACTTTGAGAGCAAATACAGCATCTGTATCTTTATCCACAGCCTTGAACACTTTTCCGTATGCACCCGATCCCAAGTATGCTTTCTCTCCATTGGGCCTAGTCAGAATTTCGAAGTTTGTGATCTGCTGCTGTCTGCTCGATGGCGCGATCGGATTCTTGTCCGGGAACAATTCAGACTTTAAAGTCTCGTAGAGCCTGTAAACAAAGGGAGCTAGAAACAACAATCTCAATACATCACGCAAGGCAGCACTTTATTCAAACCGCTGTTGACCCCGGACTTAATCCTATTCTGTACATTTCTTGACTGGTAATATGGCCTAAGCTTTGAAAAGAGGGCACTGTACAGTGACAATTGATATGACATAAAAACTATTGTACACACGCTGCCCGTCATTTAAGCTCTTACAGGTAGAAACAATTTCAAAAAATTAGCAGGGGCTCAACAGCGGTTCTCTGTGAAAAGCTGAACAACTGATATGTTGGTCTTTTGTACAAATTTAGTGCCCATTTTCTAACCTGTCTCGGTGTATTTCCGAAGGAAAGTACACTTGGAAGTCGTCCAGTTTGTTCACATACATCAGCAGGCATCTCCCGTCGTTCATGTACGTGCTGAAACGAGTTCCCAATAAAATCTGAAGAAAACTTACAAAGCGATAAACCAGCCGAATCAACCCGAGGAGAAACAATTTAAGCCGAAAAAATTCAAATTCCCTCCCACTGAAGACATTCACACACGCCCACGAACACTTTCTGCGGTCGTCGAACGACCAATTATAAAGCTAATGAGCCGATAAAATATAGGCTGAAACCTATTAATCCGAAAAAAAACAATGAAGTTTTATTAAATCGAGCTGGTAAAATTACAAACCAACATAAAAAGCAAATTTCGAATAAGAAGGATATTGTAAATGATAACAAGCTCATAATCTGTCTGTTAAGAAAACTCAACAGACATTTTTTGAAGAGATGAGTCCAAGTGAGTCCTGCGAACTAAAATATTTACGTGAAAATTTACGGCAATTATTTACAAGTGTAAAGACCTATACTTTGAGTAAAAATTGTTCGAATCAGAAAAGTTGAAGCTGATTAAATTAGCAGACCAAAATGATCAGACAACTGATAGCACCACAGCACAAAAACTTCCATGCAGAAACATTTCAATTTTCAAAAAGTAACTGGACTCGATCCCCCACGCCTTTGTCGCTGCTTTACCTTTAAGCGCAGCGGGTAAAATATACAGCAGGAACTTGATATGAAAATAAAGTAATCTGATAAATTCTCGGAACAAAGTTATTAACAGGAAACGTTCCAGGTTGCAACACAAAACCCAGTTGCACTTGAGATACAAAAAAGAATGACTATCAATATTCGCAGATGAACCGAAAAATCGAAGAAACAATTTAGTTCCAAAAACAAAAATTTCAAAACAAATCCTTTATCTCCGATTTGAACTTCTTGCACCTTTGGAAATTTCACAAAAAAGGCGAAGCGAAGCTTCTCATTACTTGCAATACAACACATTCATTGCATGACAAACTAACATACAGAAAGTGACGAAAACGGTCGAAAATATCAAAATAGTTGATCTGTCAGAAATTTTTCTACATTGAACACTTTGTCTTGAAAAAATCCTTTCAAGAAAAAATGCCAAGTAAGACCATTGAATGTTAAACAATTATCGAAACAAAACATACAAAGCGGCAACAAAGCCGAAAATTCTTGAGCAGACACACGTTGCGCCTAAAAAGAATTGTTTTCAGTAGAAAAATTAACAACTCAAAAAAGATTTTAAAAAACTTTTTGCTAGTCAAACGGCTCAAAAAGAAGCATCTAAGCTGATATATCAAAGAAATAAGAAAAAAAAAAAAGAAAAACTGATACAAAACTCGGAGTTAAATTTAAAACCAATATTACGAGCATTTAAAATGCAGACAATCTCAATTTCCATTTGTAACTTTTAGCGTACAGACAAATCATATGCGCAGTCAATTCAGTACCCATGCTATTAATTCAGCGGTTACAAAACATACTGATTGATTGTCATTTCTTCCATTCTGTAAACAAAGTTCTTTACCGGAAAAAAAACAACTGCCGGTTGCAACACCATTGCTTTTCGCGAGGGTAAACAGAAGGTTCGACACAGAGGCAAAGCTTCGCAAACACTATCAAGAACACGACAAAAAGCAGCTCTATACAAAGCAAGAATAAACATTAGAAATAAGCCTCGAATTAGTAAAAAAAAAAACTTCTGCTACCTCTGAGATGATCACTTTTATTTGCGAGTCAGGTTAGAAAAAAAGAAGGTTCATAATAACACACTAAGCTGATCGCAAGTGTAAGCAAAGGAAATGAACTGAATTTTAAAAAATCAAACCGCGAAAACTCAAATTTTAGAGTGATAAATTTTATGATTTTTTCTTCAAAAAAAAGAAACAAACAAATGAATCAAATTACCAAGACTACAGGTTTTGCTATTTTTTTTTCAGGAAAAAATTTTAAATTAGTTCACGCTTAAATTCGATTTTTAAGCAAATTTTGATTTATTTGCGTTCCTGAACTTCTATTCCAGCAAAATTCCTGAACAACTCCCAATCATAGTCTCGACAATTTTTCCCGAAAGCGCATTAACCATTAAATTAGAATGTGCAATAAAAAATAGAAATGAGCCTCGAAATAATAAAAATGCGACTAGGTCTCGATTTCGGTCTGCGACATAAAGATTAAGAGCCTCACGCACTAACCACTTAACACATCCGAAACACTAGCCACAAATAAAGCAGAAAACAGATGCTATGAAATTTCCAAAGCTAGATCGTGATTATAGCCTGAGTGCCACCAAACAAGTGAACACTTTCCACTTTCAATGAACACTTTTATTTGAGAGCTAGGATTTAAAAAAATGTTCGTACTAATGCACTAGCTGCTCGCTGGTTTCAAACGTGTAAAAACTGACTGACAATTTTTGAGAACTTTTCTCAACTTTCGAAGGGAAAAATATATCAGGTTAAACTTGATATAGCTTAAACATGAAAAAATTCTTTCGTTAAACATGCAAAATTTTTATGCTTAAACATGGGAGATAGCTGCCACTCGCATTTAAATATAGTATAGATTATTCGTTTTCTTGCTAATTTTTGACGATTCTAAAACTAAAGAAATCAAAAGTCAAACCGCGAAAAAGTAAATTTGAGCCAGAGTAAATTTTAAGACTTTTCCAGAAAAAAACGAAACAAAAAAACAATCATCAAGACTTATATAAGAGTCAAGTCTGAAAAAATCATAGCCAACTGACGGTTGGAAAAGAGTAATGAACGCAATGAAACTTGTTTTTGCTGACTTGTTTTTTTTTCAAAAATCCTCATCTTTTGAATTTCGAAGAAAAAAATAGATGGCCTTAAAGCTCTTTGAATTTGTTAAACAACTTTGTTAAAATTGACCCCATTTGAGAAAACTGGATCAATAGGCAAAACTTTTTTTTTCACTGGGATATCTGATAATTAATTTTCATTTTCGAAATTAGAAGTCGATCACATTTTTCGTGGCCTTTACAATTTTGCTGTTCGATACCTTTTAACAACAGAAATGCACTGACCTCAAAAAAAAATTGCAAGTCAAACCGCGAAAAATTAAAAATTAAGCGTGAACAATATTTAAGATTTTTTCCTGAAAAAAATTCTTTAAAAAAATCAGCAAGACCTATATAAGAGTCCTCACAACCGTTCATCACTCTTAAAAATCATCATGACCTAGATTAGATTCTGAACTACCTGTACAAGAGACGGCAAATCGGCCAACGGTTTTTGTCAAAAGTTGATCCCTTTTTTGCAGAAAATGTTTTGAACTTTTGAAGTTTTTTTTTATTCCAACGGCGCTAAGAAATATCAACACAGAGGCGAAGTTGTACTTCGCATACACAAGCAAAAATATGACCGATAACGCTACTGGGAACAATTGAATGAGTAAAACTGTAAAACTGAATGAGTAAAAGTGACGCACGCCAATTATGAATCTATAAAATGCTAAGTGACGCAAGCGCAAGCCAATTATGACGCATTAGCAGTACCAGTCGATTTGAAAAAAAAAGAAATCAAATAACTAACATACCTCAACTTATAGAGCGGACGCAATTCAAGTAGTATACGAAAAAGTTCAGAAAGAACATCCGACGCTGCCCACGTTTGAAACCTCTTATTTTGTTGCTGATCTCATTCCCTACCTCTACGCTACAGATATATGATAAATTGAAGCTAAAGTGCTATTTGGAATATTATAGTCTGTGTTTTAATATCCTTAGCATTGTTTCAACAATATTTGCGACTTAGGCTGAAAAAAAAGATAGTTCATACTGTAACACTAGCTTTGCTTGTGTAAAAATAAACTGTTCAATAAAAATTTCATGGCTTAACCTTCTATGAATCGCTTCGCCCATTCACATTTAAAAACTTTTTTAAAAAGCACATTTAAACTCACATTTAGAAACTCTGAAAAGGACTGAGTGCTTACTTGACAGCAGCGAGGTCCGAAGCTGTGAATTGCCAGTTGGTATGTTTGGGGTCAATCAAAAGCAGATCGAAGCTCTAAACCGAAGCAAAGCAAGTCAATCGGACTGTCCCAAATAAATCAACACGGAAAGGACTACAGTAGCAATGAACTTGAAGTGGCTATGAATGGCTAAAAGGTAGGTGGGTCTCATGATTGCTCACTCCAAAATTTATAAAACTAATACCAAAATAACAGCTGCTGGACAGAAATACAGCTTTATTTTGTTTTCATTATTCAGACTAGATATATGTCTCACCTCTATAGGTCCAGGCACGTTTGCCCCGTATGAACAAGGTCCTCTGTGTATAATAAGGTTGGCGGGCACGAACTCATAGGTGCGATGGGCACTGGCACTAGTGGCATGAGTCACTTGCTCTATCACCAGCACTGGGTACTCACAGAAAGATTTGGAGGTGTCCTCTCCCACGAACAGAAAAAACTGCATCCAGAACTCAAACAGCTGCGCCTGTGACAAAAAACACGGTTGTTATTTACAGTTTTTCTTCATCTTGCATCAAATACTGCATATATACCGACACGCTCGGGGAAAGAAATTGAGCAAACGCTTTTTGCCTCTTTTCCACCACATCTCCAATTTTCAGCTTTCTTAGTTCTCTTATTTATTACACTGAGGCCAAGCTGCGCTTCGAAAACACACGCGAGAAAACGACAAAAAATTAGCTGTAAAAAAAGAAAATCAGCTGTAAAAAAGAAGTAAAAATAAGCCTTGAAAATTATGAAATAAAATAAGCTTAAGACATCCGCACTATCTTTGCATGTAATAATTGGTGAGCATGAAGCCACATTATGTATGAATTATGCATTTCAAAAAAAATTACCAGATATACTGAGCTGAAAAATTTCAGTTTTCATATTTGTACTATCGTTTGAAACAAAAAACTTCATTCGGTTCAATTGATGATCCAAAATTCATAATTTGTGTTGAATATTTATAATCGAATGCCAAAGCATATGCTTGAAATTTCTAACAAAAAAATAAAAACGCCGTAAAGGTGCCCCAAAATTGGCACCTTTTTTTTGCAAGGTTGGAAAAAAGATATACTCGCACTAACTCATCCAAAACGAAACAAAAAAATACAGAGGTGAAACTGCGCTTCGCACCGCTGGCGATACAAAACCAGAATGCCGCTAAGTCGGAAAAACAAACGAAACATCAAAAATGTAGAAAAAACTAGACCTGTTAAAATTAATCAGGCTAGGTTTGGAAAAAAACATGCCAGGACAATAGAATGTGATAGTCCAATCGGAAGAAAATTTACCAAGCGGTAACAAAGCTTAACATTCTTTATCAGAAAAAAACCAGACTTACAAAAATAACAAGTCTCCCTCACTCTCAAAACACGCATATACGAAAATTTTTCGCTCGTCGAAAGACACATTGAGGCCATTAAGCCTATATAAATTAGGCCCGAAACCTATCAGGCCTATAACACGAAAAAAACAAAGAAAATATACCAAGTCAAGAAGTTACAAATATAGCCAATCGAAGATTGGTAAAGAGTATTGAACGCAAGTAATTTAAAAAAAAAAACACTGACTCTGTTGAAAAAATCTCAACTTTCGAACTTCAAAGAAAAAATAGATCCCTTCAATCTTCAAGCTCTTTGAATTTCTAGAAAGATTTATGATTGGTGCTTTTTTGATAACATTAACCCAAATTGAGAAAACTGGATCAACAGGTAAAGTTCTTACTCCGCTGGAAATCTAAAAAATAAATTCCACTTTTGAAACTAGAAATCAATCACGTTTTTTGGCGCCATTTCCACGTTCGTATTTGGAGAGTGCTATTTACGTCAGTTTTAGCACATGAATTTCAATTGAAATCAAAAACTGTATACATAACTAAGTGCATTCATAGATGCATCAATATGTATGAATGCGCACCTGCGTTACTTGAGACTTTAATGCATATTTTAAGACGTTTTCCTAAAAAAATAGCAAGACCTATATAAGAGTCTTCACTACGTTCATTACTCTTAGACAGCAGAAGTAAGCAAAAACACTAAAAGCAACTCTAATGTGAAAAGCGTACAGCAAAAAAAAAACAATAATACGATGTGCCAACTAAGCCGAAAAAACATACGCAGACAAATAACAAGACGGCAACGGAAATTTTCTTTAAAACGCAATTTTTCCCATTTGAAAAAAAAAATTATCAGAGGGTTTCCGCGACTTTGGTTCAAATCTGATAAATTTAATAGTAAAATGTAGCCAACAATTTTCTGGTAAATAGGTATAAACAAAAAAATTTTGATTTTAAATTAGGATTTAAAGATTGAAATATACAGAAGCGAAGCTGCGCTTCGTAAACACTTGCGAGGAAAAGCATCTCTATAAAGAAAATTAAGAATAAGTAGAAATAAGCATCGAATAATTAAAACTTTTGCGGTGACGGATTCGAACCAGCGACTTCGAGATTAGGATTCTCGCGTCCTTCCCTCTCAGCCACAGGCTCTTGCACAATCTGCAAACACTGTCAATAAATAAAGCAGATAACAAATTCCAATGCTGCAGATCAATTTTCCAATGCTGCAGATCAAGATCACAGGAAAAGTGCCACCAAATCAGCACTTTTCATTGAAAATTAGGTTGGAAAAAAGTAGAGTCGACATACTAAAATACTACTCTCGCAAGCGTAAAACAGCCAATAGACAGCTGGAAAAGGCCAAAGAAACCTAAATAAATACTGAAAACTTTTTTTGAAAAAGTCTCGACTTCCGGATTTCCAAGAAAAATAGCCAACAGGCAGTTGGAAAATCTCAATTTTCGATGTTAAAAAAATAGATGGTTTGGAAACTCGTATTTCTGTAACAATTTATGGTTGACACTTTTTTAGATAAAATTAACACAATTTGAGGAAACTGGATCATTTCGCTGGAAAATTCGACAGAGGCCAAGCTTCGCTTCGCAAACACTTGCGAGAACACGACAAAAAGCAGCTTTATAAAGTGCAATGATAAAAATTAGACATAAGCTCCAAATTAGTAGAAACTTGGCTACCTCAGATTCGAACCTGCTACCAAGAGATTAAGAGTCTCACACACTAACCACTCAGCCCCGGAAGCTTAGTAGACTCCAAACACTAGCCACAACAAATAAAACAGACCAGTAGCTATGCAATTTCCAATAATACTGTGAAGGTTCCAAATAAAAGAACACTTTTAATGAACTTTTATTTGCGAGTTAGCTTAGAAAAAAAGAAGGTTCGTAATAACACTCTGCTGACGACCGCAAGTGTAATAATTAAATTGTTCTTTCAAAACTAGAAGTTGATCACGTTTTTTGTGACCTTTACACTTCTGCTGTTCGATAGTTGAGCTTGCCTTCCTTTTAACGAAGGAAATTATCAAAATTTGAAAATAAATCAAGTCAAACCGCGAAAAAGTAATTTTGATCCTGAGTAATTTTAAGAAAATTAAAAAAAAATTCATCACCAATATAATATTCCGGCACAGAGGCCAAGCTTCGCTTCGCAAAAACTTGCGAGAACACGACAAAAAGCACCTCTATTAAGTGCAATAATTAAAATTAGAAATAAGCCTCGAATTAGTAAAACGGCTACCTCTGAGATTCCAACCTGCGACCAAGAGATTTAGAATCTCAACCACTCAGCCACGGAAGCTTAATAGACACCAAAAATTAGCCAGAAAAAAAAACAAAACAGAGCTCAGTTGCTATGCAATTTCCAATGCTACAGTAAAATTTCCAAATAAATGTACACTTTTATTTGCGAGTTAGGTTAGAGAAAAAAGAAGGTTCGTAATAACACACATCCTGATCGCAAGTGTAAACCATTTTCCAGTAATATTAATATGATGCAGGCGCCAACAACCAAGAAAAAAATGCTCTGCGCTATAGCTACTTTCTCGCAAGAGAATTGTCTCAACTAAAATATAAATGTACACGATGAAGCGAACTAACCGAATCTTCATAGGAGTGACCAGGCAACGTCAACAACTTCTTCTGCTGCTTCGGAAGCGAGTGATCTGAGTTCGAATATGGACTGTTCACACTCTTGGCCAACTCCTGTCTCTTCGATAGAATCAACTTCAGGTTATGAAGTGTGGATTTAATGTACCACGCCGGCGCATTGAGGTGGAACATTCGTCTGGCTGCGTCAACTGCTTGTTGTTTGTCGTCCAACAGAACGCATAGTTCGAAGTAAGTGGCAACTACCCAGTAGTTCCCGATTTGGTCCAGACGACCCTGAGAGCCAATTGAGAAGCTCAGCTTGTTGTCTAAATAATGATTTCAGTGAAGTCTTTTGGAAAAACCACCTGTTGCGCAAATAATTCATATACAAAAGGTTCTTTAGAAGCGAGGGTGATAGCACTGACATCGAACGAACATTTCTATCCACCATTAAGGTTTAGCCGCTGAGCTTTTTTCAGACAAAGTGGTTTCAACAAGAAAAGGTTTTTTTTACCGAACAAAGTTTTCGTGAACAAAATGAAGGCTTTTCAAGCGAAACTAAGCGATGCCCCTTTTGAAGCTTATGGGGAAATTAAAAACTACTGCACTTAGTAAATTAGGAACTAAGTGGAAAATAAGCACTAACTGAGACGTTTCAGATCTTTATCAGTTTCGAATGTCTTGCCGGCAGCGACTAAAAGTGTGGCCAGATTAATCATGGCGTAGTCTGATGGTTCCAACTGGGCTCCCTTCTTGTACCAATCTATGGCGTTGTTGAGGTACTTTTCATTCTGATATTGGGACTCAATGTACAGGTCCTTGTATATTCTTCCGCAGAGACACAGCATGTCTGCACTGGGTTCCTCCACTGTTTCGATAACCTCCAGCGCTTCTTCTCTATCACCCAGTCTCTGGCGTCTAAATATAAGGCTGAGGTCTTTAATTAAGCTGGACAACAACAAATTGCAAGCATCTAGGCTCTAACGTGTTACCACTTCGACCAGGATCACCTGATTTTTGGTTGCTCTTTTGAACTTCAGAAACAATTTTTTTAATGAAGTTACAACAACAGCACTATATTGACTGGTTCTTGCAATTACCAGAAATGTTAACAAAGACTGACTTATACCACCACTACTTACCACTCATACAAAAAAATATCCTACGCTTTCAGGCTCCTAAATTATAGTTAAATGATTTTTTCCGCATTCAAAAAGCTTTTAATGAATCTGGAAAAGCGTAAGAAGTAAAGTATTCTTCTATTTTTATACTTAACTCACGTGCTCTAAAACTACCAGGGGGGGGGGGGTGTCTACACTTTAAGTTGCGGGGTTTCCTGCAATTAATAAGTACTTATTACGGCAATCAAATGCGTAAAATTAGATTTCTTGCCTGTTCAGTGCGAATGCATAGAGGTATATAAGCCCCTCTTTCTGCGAAAGATCGTAGTTCCTCTCCTTCACATAGCGGAACACGTCGATCATTGAAGCATAATCCTGAAATAACATGATGATCAATGATTGCAGATCAAATTCGAACAAGGCTATGAATCCAACAGAGAGTTGGAAAAGGTTACTGATTTCCACGAAACCGGAAAAATGATAGACGTTTATTGAATGATTTTCAACTTTCGAACGTTAAAGCAAAAATTAAAACAGGCGAAGTGGAGCTTAGCACTATTTGCGAAACAACACAAAAATAAGAAGTCGAAAAGAAGAAAAAATTGATAAAAATTGGGTCTACTACTTTAAATTTTCGTATATCTCCATAGAAATTTATTCCAGTCAGACATTCAAATATTAAATTAGCAACGGAATAAAACTTCAGAAGAGGAAACAAAAACGACAATCTTTGAACAAACACAAGTTGAGCCGAAAAAAAAATGATATTATAAATACTACAATGAAAGTTTCTTACAACACAAACAAAGTCCGTGATAGGCGCAAATTGCCGACAAAACTTGAGCAAACAAACGAAAGTCCGACAATTCAATTTTTACCGAATTTTTTAAAACTGCATACACCAAAAAAAAACAAAGCTCGACCGAGACTCAAACCCCAGACCTTAAGGTGCAAAGGCGGCGGCGTTACCCCTACGCCAAGTGGTAAGGAACACAAAGGATCTTACGAGAAGACAAAATAATTAAAAAAAGAATTTGTAAGAAAGTTTGTTGACGGGAAAGGGTATAGTGCACGAGAGCACGACACTTAATCTCGCAAGTGCTCTTTCAATTTCAAGATTCTTTAATGACTAACACTTTGATCATAAGACTAATCAATTAGAGAAAAGATTTTTCCACTCCTCTGGCAAATCTAAGAATTAAAATCCCCTTTCGAACCTAAAAATCATTTACGTTTATTGGAACCATTTGCACTTTCGTAATCGGAGAGTGTAATTTGCCTTCCGTTTAGCAAATGAAGTTGAATTGGAATTAAAAATGAAGCAAAACTCATACCGCAAAAAAATAACCACTCGACCTAAATAAGTGTTCGTTCATTGACACTTGAAAAGGGCTATAATTCAGGGGCGGATTTAGGAGGGGGCGGACGCCCCCCCCCCTCAGGGATTCGACCCCCTGCCGACCCAAAGGGTCCCCCCTTTGATACTTTTTAAGAAATCCATTTTTGGCCGACCGACCCTAAAAATTTTCTAAAGGCGCCTTCGGCGCCAATATATACTAATTTTTTTTTTTGGGGGGGGGGGGGGAGCGCGCGCCGAAAAAACGCAATTTTTCGGTCAAAACTTTCCAAAAAGTGCCTAAAAACGCCTTTTTTGACCTGTTTTTTCAAAATTTTGCCTGCGGCCCAAAAAATTTGGCCAAAATAGGGACAAAACCGTGCTTTGGGAGAGCTCGAAAAATCAATTTGGTCGACCTAAAAAAAAAAAAAAGGTCGTCAAAATTTTCGAAAATTTTTTGAAAATCCGCCCCCCCTCGAGAAAATCCTAGATCCGCCCCTGCTATAATTCAAAAGTGTTGACCTGTTACAAACAAAAGATGAAAAATGGTTCACAATTAAGACATTCTCGGGTGCTGAAAATTTTTTTTTCTAATTATATGGTGTAGTGCTAAATGTATAAAATGTGCTACTAATTTAGCCATTAAAAAACTACTGTTAAACTTGTTAAAATAATTCCAGCCTTTCGAATTTCTCGGAATAGTCAAAGAGCTATCCGTTTTTGACGTATGAGTACGAGGTTTTTAGTACGACGCGTTTATTGGATTCTGGTTCTCGAATTGAACGAAGTGATGAAAAAGAAAAGCAACTACCACAGTCAGAAAAACTGTGAGCCAACCTACTTTCAATCAGACTTCAGACGCATTTCCGTAGTTCGCGCGATTTTTGATTGGAACATGCGTTAAATTGTTTACACAGCGGCGATATAAGCAAGCCGGTGCAAAAAAAAGACAGAAGCCACAAAGTCAAAAACATACCCAACCTACAATTGGAAAAGAGTCAATGAACGCAAGTAAACAGAAAAACTTTCTGAAAAATGCATTTTTTGGAAAAAATCAATTTTCGAATCTCAAAAGAACATAGATGGCCTTGTAGCTCTTTGAATTTCTAGAACAAGTTACGGCTGGCAATTTTTTTGATAAAATCAACCCAATTTAAGAAAACTGGATCAACGGGTAAAATTTTTATTTCGCTGGGAAATCTGACAATTGAAGTCCATTTACGAAATTAGATATTTATCACTTTTTTGTGGCATTTTTTGTTGTTCAATAGTGGAGTTTGCTTTCCTTTTAACAAAGGAAATGAAGACTAAAAAATCAAAAATCAAACCGCGAAACATCATCATTGAACGTGGATAAAGTTTAAGACTTTTTCCTGAAAAGAAAACACTAAAACAAATCAGCCAGACCTATATAAGAGTCCTCATCACGCTCATTACTCTTGATAGCCAACAGACAGTTGGAAAAGAGTCATGAACGCATATAAACAGAACAAATAGAATACAATACTGATTTGTTTTTCTTTAAAAAAAACTTCAACTTTCGAATTGCGAAGCAAAAACATATCGTCTTTGAAAATCAAGACTAAATTATTATTGACACATATTGGATAAATAAACCCAATTTTTTTAAAAACTGGATCAATAGGTAAATTTTTTATTCCGTGGGGAAATCTGAAAAATAATTCCAATTTCGAAACTAGAAATCGATCACATCTTTCATAATTTTTACGCCTGTTTCATAGTGGAGTTTGCCTTCCTATTAAAAACCAAAAAAAAAAGAAATCAAAGTCGAACAGTGAAAAAGCAAATTTGATCTTTAACAAATTTTAAGACTTTTGTTCAGGCTCAAATTTACTTTAAGACTAAAAAAAAAAAATCATCACGACCTTCAAAAGTGTGTGAATTACGTTCACCGACTCTTAAACACTAAAAGCAACTACAATGTGAATTCCATACAGCAAAAAAAACTCTACGACATCGCAGCTATGCTAAAAAAACATTAGCAGACAAATAAAAAGCCAACAATGTTTTTTGAAACGGAAAAAATCCCGTTTGAAAAAAAACAAGCCCATTCGATAACTCCAACCCAAGAGTGCCGGAGACCGAAATTTTAATTCCCTATAAACTGAAACTGAGTTTACCATTTCTAAGTTTGACCATTCTGTGAACAAATTTACTTAAGGGAAAAGTCTACTACCCGATAGCAATACCCTTCAAAACATAGCCAACTGACATTGGAAAATAATAATGAACGCAAGGAAACAGTATAAAAACTGACTTGCTCGTTGAAACAAAAACAAATATTCGAATTTCTAAGAAAAAAATAGATACCCTTACAGCTTCTTGAATTTCACAAACAGTTTATGATTGGTGCTTTTTTTTGATAACATTAACACACTTTGAGTGAAATGGATCAATACGTAAACCTTTTCCTCCTAAGAAACCGATAATTAAATTCCATTTTCGAAATAAGAAGTCGACCACATTTATTGTGACCTTTACACTTTTGCTGTTCGAGAGTAGAGTTTGCCTTCCTTTTAGCAAAAGAAATGAATTTCAAAAATCAAACCGCAAAAAAACATCAACTTAAGCCTGAACGTATTTTGAGACTTTTCCTGAAACAAAACCACGATCTATAGAAGAATCTTTACGATGTTCGTCAAAAATAATATGATGAAAACAAGAAAAAGTACAAATAAGCCTCGATTTAGCAAAAACTCGGCTACGGGTCGGATTCGAATCTGCATCCTAGCAAATTTGAGTCAAACGCACAAATCACTCAGCCATGGATGCTTAAAATTCCCTAAACTAGCCAGCAAGCTACATCAGATAACAAATTGTCAATTCGATGAAGCAAAAGTAGCACTAACTACAAAAAGACATAATTTTGCATGTAATAAATTGGAAAGCATAAAGCTAAATTTTGTAAAAACTATGCATTTCAAAAAAGTTGCGAGATACAAGATTAAAAAAATTTCTGAAATCGAGCTTTTTATCATTGTACTGCTGTTTGAAACAAATAACTTCGTTTCATTTGATGAATTAAAAATGCATCGACTATGTTAACTTTTTACTTACCAATGTCAAAGCACATATGATATTATATTGCTACCGTAGCTTTCAAAAGTGGCATTTTGTTTGCGACTTAGTTTGAAAAAAAAAGAAAGTTCGTATTAATACACTTTGCTTCGCAAGTGTAAAAAGTAAGCTGACAAAAGTTCAGCAGAGAAACTATAGTCGGTCAATTCAACAACTTTCTAATTCCATACATATCGGAAAAAAACAAGGTCCGACCGTGACTTGGTTTCCCCATTATAGGATCACAAGGCAAATATTTGTAGAAATTTTTTTTTGGAAAAAGTCTGTACCCAAAAGCTAAATTTAAAAAATATCCCAACTGCTATTTTCTAATGAAAAAATGACAGTTGAGATTGCCAGACCCAATTTTGATTAAAAATTAAAGAAAGAAAACAGACATTTGGAAAAAAGTCAAAAAACAAGAAAACCGAAAATAATGACTGATTCATTTTTGAACGTTTTTCAATATTCTAATTGGGTAAACGGAATCAAAAGATAAAATTTTTTATTTCGCTAGAAATTCTCAACAAATGAAGTCCAATTTTGTACCTAAAAGTCGTTTAAGTTTTGCGCCATTTGCACTTTTCTATTCGAAAGCATAAATTCTTTTCATTTAGCAAAATGATTTTGAATTGAATCTTAACACAGAGGCAAAGCGGACCTTCGCATCACTCGCGATACCACAAAAATACCATTGCGCGCTAGCAAACAGGGAAGGAACTTAAAAACTTCAAAACGTTGTCTGAAATGATGTTATATTTGCTGAAAACACGTTCAGAAACACATTCGACGGCGTTTAATGAAACTTCAATAAAATTGTTGTCATGAAAAGCGTTGAACTACAAATTCAATAAGTTTTAACATTTCGTGCGATTCGTAGGAAAGCATACAATTTTGGTTGCCTCGGAAGACCTAAAATTAGGTAAGTAAGCCGATAAAATCTAAGCCGAAATCATTTAGGCTGAACAAACTTTTAATCAAAAAAAAAAAAAAAAAATAAAGTCAATCATAGTCAAATTAAAAATTGCAGGAGCAAATGAAAACATAAGAAGGAACTACAATGAAAACTGCATACAACAATAAATTCTAAGATGTTGCAACTAAGCCGAAAAAACATCAGCAGGCAAATTATAAACCGACAGCTTCTTTGGAACGGAATATTTCCCGTTTGAAAAAAAAAACAAGTCCAGGTTACATTCGAACCCAGGACTTTTGCCGTCCCAGGCGTATTTGTTACCCCCATATTAAGTGGGCCTGAACCACTCAGAAATTTGAATTCGAGTGATTCTGCTAAACAACTTTTTAACCCGAAACAAATCTATATTCCGATTTGATAACGCTTAGAGCGATTTAAGAGTGATCAAGTTTTATGAATTTTTTCACCTCTCTCACTGACACCTATCAATTGAAACTTAAGATCTTATTTACAAATTTGCAAAAGCGAAGAAAATTGTCAAGTAGGTTTTTCAATCAATCACAATGCAATAATTTTACAATTTTTGAAATGAATAAGTTCAAACTCGTCGTTCCGATCACAAGTACTAAAATAACAGCAATGAGAGAACCCAATGAGTAAACGTACCTGACACTCTCTGAGTGCCATCATGAAGAGATGGACAGTCTCGAATGTGAGTTGACTCCTGCTCTGCTTCAGCTTCTCCTCGTACACTCTCCTCAACTGAACCTGCAGACTCACTCCTTTGTGACTCTTCATCAGGTCTCGCATCTCAGTCACAATGGGCAGTGCCTCATCCTTGTTCGCAACCTAAACAACCCAACACAACCACACCCCAAATATCTCATACATACTATTCTAGCATTAATTGAAAACTTGGCCTGATAGACTTAAATCAGTATGTGCCTAGCACGTTAAACAATAGATGTTAGAAACTTGTCTTCAAATCTAAACATTTGATGTTTTTGAATTGTTAATGTTTTGGCTGATTTTCAGAACTGATTTCATTTATGAGATAACTCAAAAGAACAGACACGGTCAAAAGATGTCATATTAGTTGTCCTATAGATTCATTATCTAATTCTTGGCGATATGGGACAGTTTCAGATTATCGCGTATTTTTAATTGGTTGAAATATTTCATGCACCCTCAGGTTTCTTTTACAGGTTTTGTTACACAGACTACAAACAGGTCATAAGCATATGGTTAGCAAATTGATGACCCACCAGTTGCTGAAATATTGTAATGCACGTGACTTGAGGACAGTTCACGAAATGAAGACAGTTTCTGATAAGCGATTTACTAACGCGCTGCAAAAAGTACAGTAATGTAAAAAAAAGTGGTCTGCTAAACAGTAACTGCTTAGTGTGGATAGCCGGCACCCAGTTTTTCACCTTCTAATAAAACAGATGCTTATTGATTAAAATTGCAGATCTAGTATTGTAGCGTAAAGAAAAGACAAGACTCTTGATTGAAAGTCTATCAAAATATTGACACCTGCTCCAAAGATTCTGACAACAATTGTGCATAACTTCGACACGCTTTCCCCATTCAAAACTACAAACTACAATGCAGTGGTGCTTGAGATGAATAATGAAATATTGAGGTTCGGTTACACAACAATAGAACCAAGAAGACTTCATTATTCAACTTGCTTCTTCAACCACGCTTTTTAAAGACTTCACTGACCTGTTTGAACCCATTTAGCACTCTCCTCAACTCTTGGGCCAGACTGGTCCACTCAATTGCAGCAGTAGAGGATGTAGCATCACCAGATGCGCCTGAGCCTGGCGGCTTCGGCTTTAGTGCAGGCAACAGCACAACATGGTTCAAGTCCAGACTCATGTCATTGGACGAATTGGAAGTGCCTGGCTGACTGTAGTAGGGGAGGAGTCCAGCATCCGCATCCACACACAATTCCTGCAAAGTTGAAGGTCAAGTATTTGTTATCCAACGCTTTTACGCCATGTTTACCATGATAACTGTTTCAAAACAACACCCGTTGAATTATATTTCACACCATCCAATTTTCCCCATTTAAAATGTCATAAGTAAAACCACAAAAATTTGGTTGATGTTTATTCAAAATGCTCTTCTGATCAAAGCGTCAAAACTGACGTAGAAGGGCACCACCTTTTTAAGTGATAGTCTTCATGCAGTCGGCGCCTTCTCTCTATATAGCAGTTCAAGAGGGACGTTTGATTGCCGATTTAAAAACGTTTTAGGTGCCAAACTTTTCGGCGTGTAGAGAAACGAGTGAAACTCCATGCCCGGTTCAGGATGGCAGTTTATAGTTAATAGTAAGAACCGAGGAAAATGCCCCTTATGTGAGATTATGTGATAAGCCGCAGATGTTGGGCAGGTTCTTCGTGATACCCTCGCAAGCTATTGATGGTAAGAGGTAAGGTGTACCTGGCAGTAAAAGAGATGGTCGGAACAATAATCAAACATAACTTGACCCTCACCTTCAAGTACAGCAGAGAGTTCTGCTCTTCGTCTGAAACATTTCCTGGAATCTGATACAAGACCACATTCACATTCTTGCCGTAATTTCTGCGATGTCCGATTTTGAGAAACAGTTTCGACTCTTCTTCCTTGCTGACCAAATGCACAAATGCTATGTCTAAAACAAACACAGAGAATGAATAAATGTAAATCATTATCTAGAAATCGACATCAAGATACAAATCCAAATAAAAAGCAGAGGGTTGCAATTACCATCATTTTTTCATAGAAAGGCAAACAAAACACAGTTCCTAGCCCCTAGGTCTCCAAAATGAATGAGAAGCTTTTCCACATGAATTTGAAATGATGCTCAAATTAAGCATTGCTAAGACACGCTCATTTTCATGTTCGGCTGATAAAAACATTCAACACCCAGTCGAGCCTACTATGTCCATAAATTTCAATCTGCCTCACTAACCAGCAAACAGGAACTGTTCGGTAGATTTGACTTCGTCAAAAGCTATTGCGTTGTAGTCTATGAGTTGGAATTGCACTTTTTTCTTATCACAGGCGTCCTTCAGCAGCTTAATGGCCAGGTCGTCCTTCGATCCAGCTGTCACACACACAACCTAAATAATTACAATTGCAGTTTCCCTTGAAATTGTTTAATTATTTTCACTACAAAATAATGACTACTGCAACATACGATTCTTGTGTTATATTCAAACTTTCTTCTAAAATTTAAAAACCACCCTTTCAAAATACAATTTAAACACAATTCAACATTAGCAGTCTCGTAATTAAAAAAGAAAAAATAGTGTTCAGGAAAAATTTCATGTGAATAGTAGAGTTCGGACCATGACCAGCTATAACTTCGATAGAAAAATGTTAATCAATAGAACACAATCAATCGTACTCATACCTTAATGGATCTGGCGAGGGTGGAAGTGTTGGAGCCTGTGCTGGACACAGCATCAACGGACTCTTGTCTGGGAGGCAGAGTGTGTCTCCTCTCTGTCATTCGGGGAACCCGCATCGAATTGCTCTTTCCCAGCCCATGTCCATGCCCATGCCCATGACTCAACTTCCTCTCGCCATTCCCATTGCCTGTGACAAAATTTTATTCTGTCTTGATAAAGCAATCAACGCTCAAAACAGACACCCTTAAAGACTTTATGTCTACCGCTGTCAAATCCAAGGTTCCTCTGGCCACTGGATGGCCGATAGCGTGATACCTGTAGTCTCAAAATGCTGCTGAAATGCCAATTGCATAAAATGATGTTCAACGATTGCACCGTCTAAAACGGAAGGGATCAATAATCTACTGCTGCGCTGATAAGCATGCGTCTGATACATGCTTACTTAATAGTACCGGATCAATTTAGCATAACTTGTTTTGCAATAGCAAGCTCTTGGTCTTTGCTTAAACGTATTCAAGCAAGCGTAACAAATATTAGGTTGACTCATCTATTTTACGTTTTACAACTTCGTTTACCAAGTACAACTACGTTTGCAAAAGTAGAAATGCAAGGGTCCAAACATCTAACCGTTTCCGTTGGCTCCGTTTTTTGACTGGACACTGGGCGCTGACTGAAGTCTGTGACCACCTGGAGAGCTGACAGCAGCAGCAGCCGGTGACTCATGGGATTGACTATGGTTGCCACTACTGGGCCGATGGGCAGGGGACTGATGCACACTGTTGGTAGGCGGGGTCTGGTCAACATTAATACTGGGGATAGAAGTTACAAAGCCCCGAGTCATGCTAAACTATCTGAAATATCAGATCAAGTTTATCCAATTTCTTATCAAAAACCGAGAAAAAACTCCAGGTTATGTTTGTAGCTACAAGTCATTAAAGAATCTATTATTAGTATAAATAAAAGCGAAAACAAACAAAAGTTATTTCGAATTAAGTTCAATAGCAGGGACACTGTGATTTAATGACAGTCTTTTCGGGAGCAACTACATTTATCTCCAAGATGAAAAACTGCTTTTAGGCACATTAGCTGCTCCAAAAGCACTTCCTGACATTGCACTTCCAAAAGCGCTCGAACCAAATCCAGAATTTCCACTAGAAGCTGCACTTCCGAAAGCTGGAGCACCAGAGCCCATTCCTGAAGCTAAAGCTCCAAAAGTTGGCACGTTGGATCCCGTGGAGGTACCTCCAAAAAGTCCTCCACTGCTTGGAGCTGCTGCTCCTCCGAAAACCGAATTGGACCTTCCGGCTCCAAAAACTGCACCACCACCAAAAGCTGGATTCGAAACACCAATTCCAAACACTGTTTTACTGCCAAATGCTCCAGTTCCTTGTAATCCCCCGAAAGCTGTCGAAGTTCCAAAAGCACTCTGACCAGCTGCAGGTGATGCAACAGATTTACCGAATACGCTGCCTGTGGTCGTTACTGTGCCTGAACCAAAAGGCGAACCTCCGGTTTGACCAAAAACAGATCCACCAGATGTTGCACCAAAAGGACTTCCAGATACAGGAGCAGCTGCAGGGGATCCAAAGACATTTGTTCTAGCGCTTTGGGATCCAAACACTGAGCTACCATTATTAGCTCCTGAGCTCCCAAACACACTTCCTTGTGACTGTTGTGTTCCAGCTCCAAAAACATTTTGTGCAAAAGGTGATGCTGCAGTAGAGGCATCTGAAGTTAGAGCAACCGATGATCCACCAAATGGACTTCCAAAAACGTTGGATGACTTTTGTTGAGCATTGGCGCCACCTCCGAGACCTGAAAAAGCACTTCCTCCAAATAAACTTCCAGCATCTGAGGGTTTATCAGCTGCTTGTGCTGTACTTTGTCCAAAGATCGAAGACTGATTGGTAGTGGCAACAGACTGTAACCCAAAAGGGACGCTTGATGGTGTGGAAAAAAGTGACTTATTTGAGGCTGCCGCATTTAATGTAGTTTGACCAAACGGCGAAGTAATTTGACTGGATGAATTGCTCGCTTGTGTTTGCAAAGTACCATTCTGGTTATTTTGCGTCGCTAGCGTGCCAAAAAGCGAAGCCTGTCCAGATTCTGTGCTTACAGTCGTACTTTGGCCAGAAACTGAACCAGGATTTCCAGTGGTAGTGGCTGGTGCAGATACAGGAGTATAAGGATTTAATTCAGGTACATTAGCAGCTGCAGGTGTTTTTCGGTCGATATTCGAAACTTGACTTGAGACAGCTGAAGCAGGTGCTTGCTGACTAGATGTTAGCGTGGTATTGTGAGCACCTGTGGATACTAACGATGTCGCCGACGAAGGAAGAACCGGCTGTCCAGGTTGATCATTTGCCGCGGCATTGGTCGCTGTTGCAGGATGCGATAAGACCGGATTCAATGCTGGAGCATACGTTGTTACTTCTGATTTAGATGGGGCAGGAATACCTAATACTGATTGGGAAGAGTTCGATTTGATAGGTTCGCTAGTCAGAATAGATGCAGTTTGAAACGACGGAACCGAGCTCGTTTTGGGCAGACTGAAAAAAGAATCTGATGCCGATGTGGGTGCGGCTCCTTGTCGTCCAAATAATTTAGATTGGCTGGTAAGGGCCATACCTTGAGAAGAACTAGCAGGTAATGACGTATTTTTTGTATCATTTGATGGAAATATTGACGCAGCATTCACGAATATTGAAGAGGTTGTATCCGCTACATGTGTGCTTTGTGTGCTTGTTTCTGTTGTATTCTCATTAGCTTTTAGTTGAGAGTTATTAGATGAGTCACTTGTACTATTTCGCCCCAGGTTCAAAATATTACTCGAGTTCGACGTTGAATTGACGCCAGAAAAGATCGATTGGCCCATTTGAACATTGGGTTTACCAAAAATTGAAAGTCCTTCATTACTTTTTTGTTGTGGGGGGAGACTAAATAAACTTAGTTTGCTTGTATTCGTCTGTTCTGCATTGTTTGCCGTTGCAGACGCAGGCAAACCCAGTATCGATTGTGGCGTTTCGGTTCCTTCATTTTCGTTTGGCAAACCCAGTATTGATTGTGGTATTTTTGTACTTTCATTTGCGCTTGAAGGTTTGGTGTTCAGATCACTCGCAGTTGTAAAGGGAGTTTCACTAGCATACGGCAATCCAAAAATACTGGACTTGTTCTTTTGTGCCGTATTTGTATCCAGTGGCTTGTTGCTAATCGGTTCCAGCATCGATTTTAAAATGCTATCAGGAGCATCTTTGCAATCTTGGGGCTTCCCGACATTCCCAAAAAAGCTTCCCAGTTTAATTTGAGATTGGCCTTGATGCATAGAGCCCTGTCCCACGGGATTCAGGTTTGGACTAGATGCACTTTTCATAATATTTCCCATGTTCGCAATATTCTGCTTTGAGAACGTGTGAAGCGTGTTTTCATTTGCACTGGCTGAAAGCACAACATTTGGTGGCATTTCTTTTGCCGCTTCATTTACCGTTGCACCAGTAGCAGATTTCATCGGAACTCCAAAAATACTTGCTCCTGATGCTGGCTGTTTTTGCATAGAAGACGGCTGGAGATTTGAAGCTGACGCATTAGGAGGACCACTATTGAATTTCTGTTGAGTATCGTCTCTCTTGGGCTTAGGGGAAGCAGGAACATTTGCACTTGTATTCAAACTCTCTGCGTTCACAAAATTTTGACTCTCAAACTTCGGCTCCTGATCTTTAGCCAACGCAAATCCTAATCCTGCCACTGGTTTTGTAAATGCACTAGCGTTCGCGCCTCTTTCATGTCCTGGAAATAGCAAGGACTGGTTCGAGGGAACCACAGGGACTGGTTTGTTCTCCGGTTTCTGTGTCGATTGGACGTTTGAGAACCCAAGATTCGGCTTGACTTGCAGTTGCACATTAAGTTCTGCTTGCTTTACGTTTAAGTTTGGCTGCTGATAGTGTGAAAGACTCCCAGGAACTGTTTTCGTAGCGTTTGCCGACGATACGAGGTTCAAATCTTTGACGTTGACTACTGGTGCGTCCTTGTCAGATGGAGGTTGCTGACTCAAATAGACACTTTCGCGAAGCTTCTCTAACATCCTTACTCTATCTTCACCTTTTGATGATTGAAGTTGCCCGCTATTATCCCATTGCTCTTTTGCAGAAGAACTAGATTGCTCATCGAAGTTCAAAACTGATTTCCCCCACACAGTTGATGATTTAACATCTTCCAAACCTTTTCCACTCAGATTAACATGTTCAATTTTGATATTTTTAGGCTCAACTGCAACTCGTGTCACTGGTGCTTGTGTTCTTCTGGACAAATAATCCCTCAAAGCTGATATACTTTCCGGATCTGTTTCCTTTGATCTGTTCGATTCAGGTCTTATCCCTCCAACAGTGCTATCGTCAACTGAAAGATTTAAACCCTTCAGAGAACAATTTATATCTAAGGTTGACATCTCGCCTCTTTTTGAGTATAAGCCTAGACTATCACCACAGCCGTCGAATGTTGTCATATCGCATTTTCGGTCATACTTAGCTGCTAAATTGTCCAACTTTTGCCCCAAAGCCATTATAGTTTTGTAGTTGTTCTGCAAGACAGCATTTATCATCGTGTAGTATTCAGTTTCTCCTTTCTTCATCTTTCGTTCACGTGAGGCTAGACTTTCGATCATGGACAAAACTTCATTCGATCTGAGCTGTATGAAACCTTCGCTACTCTGTATAGAATCCGCCAGTTTTTGCAATTCAGGTGGTAAGGGGGCACTTTTCAAGTACGACTCGTATTTTTCATCATTATGCCGTTCTTGAAATACTTTTGCTCTTTTCGCAATGTTAAATGTATGCAGATGAGAATTCTTCAACATTTGTACATCGTAGATCAAACTATCGAGTTGAATTTTTAGTTCATTTTTAAACTTCTCATTAGTTTGTGTGTTATTTTGCAGCGGAGCGTATGACTTATCTGCTATAGGTTTCTGACTTGCCGCCTCGAGTTTCAGTTTTTCAAGGTCGCTTGAAAATGCATCCATAATGTTTTTTGTCGCTTTGATCAACTCTTGATTTTGAGCCGCTTCTTCTAATTTTTGTTTCTCCTTTATCGCCTGAGCAGCGTCCGGTTGTTTATTTTCCACTTTCGAAACGCCTGATAAATTCTGCATCTGCAGAGGTTGGTGGCCATCATTTTCCTTATTCTGCCTTTGAGCAACTTTTTGGACCGAAGGACCTTTAGACACCGTATTCTGAGACGATATTTTATTAGGCGTGAACTGGTTAACAGAATTGACCAATTCAGGTTGCTGAGCCATAGATACTGGTTGATGCTGATTCTGGATCAGAACTGGCCGATGGCTCGTAATTTGGTTCATTGCTTGAGACTTCAAACTTTGAGACCCGGATTGGTTGATTACTCCCGGCTGCTGAAGATTTAATCTCGCAAACTTCAATGGTTGTATATTCAACAGTGGATTGTCTGGCAAATCGTAAGCAATTGAAAACGCGTGAACAGACCCAAAATGAGTAAGCGCGAACAAAACAGGGTATTGTTTACCTGGTTTTGTTTCACCGTCCGCGGTTGTTACAGCTCCGACAAATCTTTGCGAACAGAAGCTAACAGCCAAGCCGGCGCATAGAGGGTCTTTAATCGAATCTTTAGGCACTGGTAACTGTGCTCGGGCATTTTCATCTAACATCAAACAATCCCATGTATCGCTGTGCTTCAAATGAGCTATTACTCCGATTTCACTTGACTTCGAGCTTGCACAAATTATCAGTTTCCATTCAGGTATAAAGTGCATAAAGGCTATCAACTCGATGTTTGGGTCAATATCAAAACTACTCATAATGACATCTTGAATCTCTGTATAGACTGGTACTTGTTGAGGATCCTTGTGCAACACTACACTGAAGTATCCAAGATCAGGATCCCGATCATAGGCACAAACAAAATGGAACGTCGCAATCCATATGATGTTAAGAACTCTTGTATTTTCAGGCGAGTGTTGTACAACTCGTTTGATGTCTCCAGTTGGCGTAACTTGCAAAAACTTTCCATCAAGACATCCTACTAATAGCTGTTTGCCTTTTGGACTCCAAGAAGCACAAGAAGCATTAAGTTGCTTGTTCAGGGTCACAGAGAGTTTTCGACTTTCGAAGTTCCAAATTTGAACACTTCTGTCGTTCATGCAGACCGCAAAAACATTGCCACACGGGTTGGATTTAATACATGTTGGGCAAATCTGTCCAAAATCATGTGATCCTAATTCATTCAGACCATCTGTCAAAAAGTAACGCATCATTATCGAGTTAATTTCCTGGGCGATGGTGACAAACAATTGGTCGTCCCAAGAGAACAGAACGTGCAGCACTGATGAGCAGTTTTGATTTAAAGTGAGAGGAAAACTCAACCCATTAATCAACCCCCAATGTTGAGTAGCTTCTTGATGTTCGTCAAAATTCTTCACTGTAAATGACGACAGAGAGGCCCTCGGAACATTCAACGCCGCAACCAATAGGTCATATTTATTGGCGCAGGCAACCGAATTCTGATTGCTCTTCGAAATGATCGCTGGGCTTTTAGAAGACAGGTTGGGCAAGTCCCCTACAGCTTTGCAAGTCACAAACTTGAAAATTTCAGGAGGTATCGAAGACATTTTTAACTAAAATGATTTCAAAATGGCCTTTCTTCACTGTTAGATATACATTCTTATACATATGACTGAGCTGAATGGAGCATTCAAAATAAAACCTATGAAAGATTCGACTGTCTGAAATAAATCCTAAAACAAACAAGGATAACCGGTTATGTGCAATTTGCACAGAATGCTCCGGCCATAGTCTTAAAAAACACTAAGTTTTTTTCAAACTATAGTCATTTTTTTCGGCGTGTGATAAAGAGATCTGAACAGGAAAACAGAACTTAGGCATATTCGACAGTAAGAGCAAAAACGGCGAATTGAAAAACAGTTTTTCTAGAAAAATGACTAGAAAAACAAAACACAATTTTCAATTTATTACTTTTTTTAAAATTTTTTTGCAGTTTTTTTAAATTTTGAAGTATTAGATTCCAAAAAGCGCTAAACAACTCAAAAAACTAAATATACTCGAGAAAAACTAGACTTTCATGGCTGAAACTAAGCTAATGTGAGCTATTTAAATAAGCTACTGCAAGACAACACGCTCACCTTATTAGCTCGAAACAGAAAAAATCAAAAATTTCAAACCGGTGTTTAAATATCGTTCGAATCATGACTGAAAAGGCTTTAATATGATATATTATTTGACCCAGTCCGACGATTATTTGTGGTACAAACACTAAAAAATTAAAACAAACTCGAATACAAAGTTCCTCCCCATTTTCAAATGGTCGGAAAAATAAGTACAGCCCATTACTGTGCCAGTAGCACAGAATCTTGCGACTCAATTATTCAAGTAGAGAAACTCAAAAAAGACAAGGATAGCCGGTTGCTGTGCAAGTACCATAGTCTCAATTTATTTTTCTTCAAATTGATGACGTTTTTTGTGCGTGATGTAAGAAAAGATCTGACACAAAGGAGAAGCGGAGCTTTGCATCACTTGCGACAAAATACAAGCGCAGTATTACAAGCTAGCTAATAGAAAATGGGACGGAAATAAAAACAAAATCAACAAATGGGAGGAAAAAAGGGAAAAAAGAAAAATGGTAGAAAAACAGAATAAATAAGCTTTTAGTATTTATTCAGCGACCACTAAGCCGACTACAAGTCGGTAGATGCCCATTGAGTCGGAAACACAAAACGTCATAAGAAATTTTTGTCATAAAAAAAATCGAACGATTAAATTGCAACACACACTCCCTGAATTTTTCAAAAAAAAATTAGCGCAGGACTCGCACCTACCGTGCTCTCAAAAAGGGCTTCCGAAAACATGTACCAAAACGGCGATAATTAAGGCTACCATGAAAATAAACTGGGGTCATCTAGCAAGGGTTTCTAATTCATGAAAAACGCCATATCTCGATATCAAAATGAATATACTCTGACAGAACCACGCGGAAAGGTTGAAATATTTGCGTTCGGTTACTTTTTTGAAACATTTATCGAAAAAAAAATTGAAAAAATCATAAAATCAAAAATCACGCCATTTCTCGAAACCAAAATAAATTGAGGAGTCAAACCAAAAAAAAGAGCAGTCATACTCGGACCCCAGATTTGCAAACTCGGAAAGTACCATGACAGCGCCCTACTATACTGTTGACAATTTCAAGTTGGGTTATCTTTTATACAGGTTTTTTGAAAAAAAGAAATTGAAGAAATCATACCAAACGCAATATCTGGAAAACCAACAGAATTTGGGCAGTCATACTTGGACGATAGATTTACAAACTATGAGTATAACCTGACAGCTGACATTGAGAAATTCAAGTTCAAATAGTTTTTCTATTTTTTGAAAAATAAATGAAGAAAATCATAAAAAAACGCTTTTTCTCGAAAACAGGATTTGAGCAGTCAAACTTGCACGCCAGATTTTCAACCCGTGAGTATACCCTGACAACACTCCGGCATCGGGTTGAAAAATTCATATTTAGTTGAGTAAACTGAAACAAAGATCTGTCCCAGGCGTATTCGTTAGCTCCAGGCAGCACTATAAATTCTATGTATTCGCAGAAAACTCTACAAAATTTGAATTCATTATGAACCAAGGTACCACCAGGAATCCAGATGAGTCCTGTGAAAAAAGTTAGATACGGGCAAAAAGTCTAGTACCCGATGGCAATACCCTTGCTTATCGCAAGGTAAAAAAAAATAAAAACTGATTACTTTTTAGTCGTTTATCTTAATTTTTGGCTGATCTTTTTCGAAAAGGGCTATGAAAAAATTTCAATGAGACGACTATTGGCTAAACTACTGAGCAAATTTCAGGAGAACTAAATTTAGACTTCAATTCCACTCATCTTGTCTTTTGTATATTTCGTATCTTTTAGTCTGAAAACTGAAAAACGCAAACTTCAGACCAATTTTTCTATTTCGATTTTTTTGGAATTTGAATTACGACTAACAAGCCTTTAATATGACACCACACTTGACCCCAGTGAGCTTTCCTAGAGGTACTTAAAATTGGGTGGAAAAAAACATAAAAGAAAGGTTGAAGCTTTATTTAAAAAAATATATATCAACTCAAGTTGATTGAAGAGCCAAAAAATTCAAAAGAACGACACAGACATCTTTTTTGATTTTTTTGGAATCCAATTCAAGCATGCTACGACAATTCAGACTCTACGATTTTCAGTCGAAGAAGTAAAAATTGGCTGTAAAACTCCCACAATGCATCCAATGCATCATAGTTCCTTGCAGTCACTTCGGGATGTGATCGGAAGAACCGTTTGCTGTGCATGTTGCACTCAATGTTACAAGTTACCTTTTAAAAATATTTTTTTTGTTTTTTTTTGGAGGGATGGTAGTTTTTGGAGAAGGGTTTATAGAGGGAGAGTTATCATGCAAAAAATTTATGTCACTTACGTTTTTCGTTCCATTCGAACTTTTGTTATTGGAAAGAAAAAATTCCTTCCTTTTAGCAATGAATTTGAATTGAGCAATGAATCAGTATTTAAAGTTAGCCAATTCAAATTCATTGCTAAAAGGAAGGAATTTTTGCTTTCCAATAACAAAAGTTCGAATGGAACGAAAAACGTAAGTGACACAAATTTGAGCGTGAACGAGGAAATCATTTAGCGTATGAATGAGAAAACCGTCCTAGTTCTGTCCAACCCATAGGAGTTGTAGAAAAAAAAACTAAAACACGACAAGCTACTTGTTGTGCACTTGGCGCACAATATTTTGACCGCGGTAAGAAATGCCAGCGAATGAAAAAGTAGCATATGGAAAAAGTAAACTAAAGTCTAATTTGTGCCGTTTTTTTTGAGATGCCGATTAAAACTCAGCACAAAACTGTATGAAAAACAGCTTTAAATGATTCAAAACCTTACTTTTGCACACCTTGCATTACAACATAAACATGACATGACAACCTCGCGTCAGAAATTGAGACGAAAGCCGCTTGAGCTCTAATAGTTTTTAAGCTTGAGCTCTAATAGTATCAGATTTAACTTTAGTTTTTAGATTAGTCTTGCCTGTACAAGTTAGAGAGACCATCGCAGGCCCCAGTACTCTGTTGTTTTATCTGCTCCAGCAGTGCTTCTCTAGCTTCAGGATCAAACCCGTTTCCATGAAGACAGGGTTCTCCGTCTTCCACAACTGTTCTTTGAACTCGTCCAAGTCGACATTTTTGTTCACGTCGCGATTAAACTCGAGTAGCAAAGCTTTCAATTGCTCGGACTTGTTCCCTGCGAAGGCGTTACACTCTCGGGAAATGTCAATCAGGATTTCCGTTTTCGGGATTGCCGGATTTTGGCCCAGAACTCACTTATCATGAGATCCCATTTGACTGGATGAGAGAATAGAGGACAGAAGCAGTGTGTTAAGTTGGCCCATTTGTTTTGAGACTGTTGATGCAAAAACCCAATAAACATAAGTGGTAGTGGATCAACTCTTCTCCACGCCAATGCATTAAACTTGACAGAACTTCAGAAAACTTACAGCTATTATGCAAAATATTCGCTGCTTTTCCGAAAAGATTGAAAGACAAATGGGAAGCTACAAATTCTCGAGAAAAATCCAAGTGGCTAAGTTTACAGTTGTATTCGAGTAACAACCAGCCAAGATTTGCACATCCCTCTTATCCTTTTCGATTTTGTCGTCAAACCACACAGCCGTCGTGTGGTTTGATTTCGATTTTGTCGTCACTTTGAATCGAATGAAATCTAACGCAATATTCTCCACCGAATCTGTGGCCACCATTGACAGTTCATATTTTTAAACAGGAGCTAGTCTCCCACTCATCTTTCATTCTTTTCGCTTTTTCCGCAATCTCTTTTGAACTAGTCTGGTGAGACAGCAACAACTTGTAGAAAACACTCACAACTTCTTTCTGGCGTCAGTCTGATTTTTTAAATTTTCCTATATTCAAGTCCGCTTCCAGACCAGTCCTAGACTGGTGTTCAAGACGTTTTCTCTTTCAAGTTTCAGCTCAACTTTCTTTTCAGACCTAGGAACGCAGATTCATTTTGGTTCTGACCTAAGATTTAGGCTTCTATTTCACAAGAATGTCAATTTCCAGTACGGTTACTGTCAAGAGTTTCAGTAGTGTTCCTACCTCAAATTCCAAGTACACCGCTCCAGAAGGGATTGCAAGCAAACCCCATACCAGGAACATATTGGAGTTCTCGTTTCTTTAAGCGTTTTAAATAGTTTTCCGCCTTCATCATTGGTTGGTGGATGTCGTGGCAACTGTCAAACTTCTTTTGGGGAATTCCCTAAATTGATCACTTTTAGCGTGATTTTTGAGTCATTCTCTAATCTGGTCGTCCTTCTCAATCCAATGTTCTGAAATACATCCTGCATGATACTCGACTTACGTTTCCACGTCTTTGTACTTCGTGACTGCCTGATAACAAGTTTAAAATCAACGCGTCTGGAAAATACGGAAAAGGTAACAAAGTCTAATTTGTGCCGTTTTTTTTGAGATGCCGATTAAAACTCAGCACAAAACTGTATGAAAAACAGCCTTAAGCGATTCAAACATTACTTTTGCACACCTTGCATTGCAACATAAACATGGA